ACCTGTCGGCCTCATTAGATCCTTCCAGCACCCTTCCTAGGGCCTGACGTTTCGCATCTTCTTCCACTCTCCGGTCTTCAATATCTTGTAAGTGGGTTAGACGTTGCTCACGAACAAGCTTAGTCGCTTCTGCATCTGTCAGAATCCGACCGGAGCCAAATTTCCGACCGCCTGCACGCTCCTCCATGCGCTGCTTCTCAGCCTGAGCTGCACGTGAAGACCGAGCACCCATGATATCAAAATGAGAAATAAGAAGTGACATGCACCCGGCTACCTTCTGCCTCAATAGAGCAAATTGAATATCATCCATTGACAGAAGATGCCTGCTGGAGGTTATAGCCATTGCGAACTCTAATGCTGACACAGCCCACTTGAAAGTTTTTCTATCAGCGGCGTCACAATCATCACAAATGAAAGACACCCAGTCGAGTGACAACTCAACAAGTCTGGCGCTATTCATTGCACGCCTGTTCGGATCAACATTGGACGAGCGCTTGCCGAATTCAGTAGCAAAGGCGTAGCACGCCTGGATGAGATCGTGGTTTTCCACCCCCCTTTCTTTCAGTTGATTTCTAATGATCGCTACACTATCCATGATAGTCATAGACAGCTTGAACGAGATCTTTTTGATCTTGTTTAGCTCCACGTTCACCCGTCCAAGATTAGCGCGTTGTTCAATTGTCATGTCAAGCTGCATTCCAGTCAACTGAGACAGTTCCTGTCTTGCATTAGACAAGCGTTGTTGTGTGCCCTCAACGACGAGACGCAGTTTTCCCAGCCGTAGGTCCGTAGGTTGCTCCAACAAGCCCACTTGCATTTCCTTGCCAGCCCAGTTTAGGGGCTTTTCCGGGCGAATTACTAGGATATATGGCACATGAGGCGAGTCTTTGGGGACATCCTCCTCACGAAAAGATGTTCCTAAAATGGCTCGAATGTCGCCAGGGCGATTCCACAGCGCTTGATGCGCAAACAGATAAACCCCTTTTTGCCCAGTAGATGCATTTGACTTGATCAGGAAATGGTCGGAGATCAGGAGCGACTCAAAGAACTCATAGGAAACATCTGCCGGAATATTGTACTCTGTAGCATTCTCGAAGAGCTGTCGAAGGAAACGAGAGAAACGGTATAACTTTCGCTGGCGAATCCGGGTTGAATCCAGGACGCTCTTGTAACGTTTGTCCATGTCGGCCGGGTCCTCATTTTGGCGTATTACCAGTTCTCGTTCAAAATGGATCATCAAGCGTTGGAGGGATTTTGCGGTCAATGCACTATTTGCTTGTCAGTCAAAGGTCACACATGCACACTACAAATCAGATACTGTACCTGAACTGTTCGGCCACTTCAATATCTCCACCTTCAAGCTGACGACCGATGTGATTGGAGAACTCCCAATCTTGTTCGAGAATCTCCGCTTCTTTAAATGTGTTTTTATTCGCATTTAGTTTCCAATTCAGGAGCCGGAAGTAGTATTTCAAGGCATCTAGAACGACCGAGTCGAAGTTCTCGTCAATGCAAGGGGGCAGGTCCCAGCCCGGTTCCGGTTTCGCGATATCCAAGTAGCGTTGCTTGAGGTCGACCGCAACCCTCATCAGAATCTGAAATTGCGAAATCATTTGGTCGACCAAGATAGGCGATTGCTGTGCAGGGTCTCTCATATTTTTAGCATAAGATAGTCGAACACGGATGATCTCTTGTATGAGACGCGATGGGAAGTTGATCAACGTGAGAAGTTCCTCGATGTAGGGAGGTAAGTGCCGTTTGGCGAAAGAATTTGCATTTTCAATCAAGGTACTCTTAGCTTTCTGAATGACTTCACTGACGCCGTGGAGCATATTGTGTTTCCCTTGAAGGGTCTTGAGCCCGTCCTCTTTCATGATGCGGTCGAGGAAGGACGACTCGTCGGTAAGATCCCTGTTGACAGACTTGCCTCTCGTCTTGCTAAAGTCAAGCTCATCGTTACCGACCCACTTCTGCAAAATGGCAAGCTCCGTATTGATAAGAATCGTAGTGTTATGCCATGCCAGCACAGCTTCACGACTAGAGATGAACTCCTCGGAAGCAACGCGAGCATGGGCAACTTCCAATTCCTTTTGCGTTGAGTAGAGCATTTCACATCTCTCAATCTGTTCGACGATGTCCTCAACTTGCTTGATTGGTGGCTTGCCAATCTCCGTTTCACCCTTGATCTCAAACTTGATAATTTCCTCAATTATCGGCCCAAGCCCCGAACGAGCCTCCTCGATCAATTTCCGCTGCATGGCAATACTCCTCCCACATGTCTTAGCCCTGACTCCCAACCATATTGCATTATTCTGAGCCGACGACCGCTTAGTGTCGGCAGACCCTAAAAGTCGTTGTTTTTCCTGCTTCACCACGTCTCCCTTCAATACCGAAGCCAGCATAGAGTGCCATTCGAGCCTTTCCTGGTTTTTCGGATTCTTCAGTTCCTCAAGCGTTGGTTGATTATCATCCGTAAGGAAAAGTTGAATATCTGGGTCGTAAGCGTCATCTTCAAATGGCACCTCTGACGATGGGGATGGTTCTTCTAAGTCGGAATCACCGACTATGCTCATATTTTGGGCCTCGTCAAAGTGGCTGTACCACGCCTGAGGATCCGCACGAATCCTTTGAACATATGCCTTTTCCTGGGCTCTGTACTGGGCGTTGGGGTCCCGTCTGGGGTTACGTTTTGTCGATGATGATCTCTGACGGTCATTCTGAAAGCTGATGTATTGAGGTGGACGGCGTTGAGGAGCGTATGTATTGGAAGGTGTCCTGGCGGGACCTGCCGGACGTTGAGGCCTCACATCCGACACTGGAAGACCTTCGCCGGGTGACGCCTTTTCAAGCACGGCTGGGGTTCCGACACTGGAGCCGCGTGGACGTGAGGCTGTGGAGCTGACCCAGGATGGGAGACCCGAAGGAGGCGGCGAGGAGGAGATTGTGGTAGCTGGCGTTTGTACTTGGCCGTCAAATGCGTCTGTAAAATTCGAGTTTGATCTGGCGTAGGATTGTTGGAGAAGCTCATCGGATGACCCTGAGCCATCCGAGTCATTGCTGTTCATATCAGGGTGCTCCATGGTCTCAAATCCACGATCCTGGTGAGCCTCCACGTTTCGCATGGACTGGATGGCGGAGTTGATGAGGAGGAGCTTATGGTGGATTAGATAGGGGTCTGTGGCGGTGCTTCCCTATCAAGATGATTGTGGCTGCGCCCGTTAACTAGTTACTGTGTGGATGCTTACTAATCAATATGGTGGAGGGTGCTTCTTTGACTACCTTATACAGAGTCCATACAGTGTGAACCCCGTTAAAGCAAAGTATTGATTTTATTTGGGCTGCAGAGAGCTTATTCATGACGTATGCCAGCCTGTACGGATACTTTGATTAGGGGAAGTGTCCACGCCTCCCTTTATCACCGTCATGCGCACCAACGGGAGTATAGTACCTGGAACTTTGAATTATTTGCAAATATTAAGAGCCGATCAAATCCTACGGGCAGGTTTCCAGTATGACAAATTTATGAGTTTGTCTGTAAGCCTGAATATATAATAATTAGATTTTTTAGGCTCTGCAGTTGGCCATGGGACAAGCTCGTCGATCAATAGTAGCATGCATCAAAGGCGATATCATGTTGATCAGTGGGACCTGACGCTCGATTTGGCATGTGCGGGTCATGGCACAGGAAAACAGTTCAGGACTTGACCTCAGGATGAACCTCTGGGGAAGCCTTACTAGTAATGGTAGATTTCAAGCCTCATAGCTGTTGTATGTACGACGACTAGTATATACATTCTCACAAACAAGTTTGAGCTTGTATAACTACTACACAGTAAATGTCGTTCTCAGGCCCATATTTGCCACATTTGGTATGTCTTTCATAGTGTATGCAACTCCTCCTCAAGCTTTTCGATAGTCAAAAAAATGAAAGCAAGGCTCTGTACATCCACATGTGCCTCTGAACTCAACGGGTCATACGGAGATGGATTGAATCAGTCAATATTGATGCCAAGGGCAAGACAGTGCCAAGACCGTACTATTCCGGTACTCCTCGGGATGCCGAGCGGCCACTAAAATCCGGGCTCTGACCAATGGGAGCTTAAATGCTTATCTCTACTTCTTCCTCCTCTACCTGTCAGTACTAGTAGTATACGTACGTAGTACGGAGTACGTCGCAAGAAGAGGGAAGGAGGCAGGTACCCGGTCCATAGATGTGCAAGATCATCATGTATAATTTTGTATCTTTTTATAAAAAGAAAAAGAAAAAGAAAAAGAAAACGGCAGACTAGGGGAGGGTCCAGATGGGGGGTCCTTTAGGGCTTTGCTGCGTAGTATGATGGTGGAGACAGTGTTCATACTCCGGAGAACCACTACAGTAGTAGACTGTCCAACAGTAGTAACGGGCATCAATGATTCCATTGCTCTATACGACCTGATCTCAGATTTGGGAACGATGGTCTCTATCGATAACCGTGCAAGTTCGTAGTCAGTGACGGTAATAACAATGTGTGGAAGGTAGCCAGATGATAAGCCACCATGGAAAGTGATGATTGGCCCCCCAGGAGGTTTGATAACGAGCTGATACGAGGAATTCGAGCTAAAGCCAATGAGACTGACAGGCGATTTTTGACAAACAAGATGCTCTTTTTGGAGGGAGAATTCGACCCTGGAATTCAAGTTCAAATGAAGCCCATGATATTCCTATATCATTTGGATGACATGAACAGAGCGACAGAATCAAATGACATGAAGATCACTTACTCCACTCGCTTGATGGAAATGAACTACAGCCGATACAAGACTCGGGAATATTATTGATTTATTGTTTATCTTTTCGTTACTTATCTATCTATCTTGCTTTTGGTCAGGATAATATGGGGGAATCCGAGCTCCTGATTGGTCGTGACGGTTCCCTATCTCTGTACACGTCCAAAGGCTCCCGACCTACACTAAGAGCTTCCAATCCACCACTGGAGGGTTTTTCCATTGTCGGTACTACTACTGCTACTGCTGCTGCTGCTGCTAGTACTAGTCGTCCATACTCACCAATCAATCATTTCAGACTTTCCATGGAAACGTGCTTCTGTCCGAGATCGCTCCACAAGTCTCTCTTACCCACAGAGTATTAGAAAGATTACGGACAAGTGGTTAGCAAAAGGAAAATAAATCAATTCATTCATATTACCGAAGGACTATCTATCGGAAAGCTTCTTATCCACACTGTAAGTAATAGTCAGATGAGCACTGGCTCGTAATCCTTCCCATCTGTATCCACTTTCCTGTCTTCAAGGCAGGTCTTGGTCTGACTTCTTTGATATTAGATGATACCAATCAAGTGGGTGATGATAATCAAGGTGCATCCAATAGTGGATCAGGGCGTGTGTCGAGGCTGAAGTTTGTGACTGGTGTCGTCGACTTATTTATGACTCCTGTATCCTGTGTCCCTGTCTGTCATATTTTCGTTCTTATCGCCCCTACGCCACCTATCCTTCTCTCTCTCTCTCTCTCTCCCTCCCTCTTTCTGAGCAACCTGATTTTTATACCTGTCCGATTTCTAGAATTGATCCAACCGGTTGCCTACCGGTCCAGTGTTCCTTCGAGAATCCCATCCGCTCAACACATCTCATCGGACTGAATACTCGTTGTTCAGCGACAGCCACGGTGATCCACTCGAGCCTCACAGTCTCGGATTGTTTTGCGGTATTCGATCCGCAGGTAGCAATTCCCAATGGCAGAATACCCTGTAGCCTACAATGGGTCGGCGACCGGGACCGGAGGTGACTCTTTGACGGAAGATCTTAACATCTACTACAGCGTTGGTGCTCCCCGTCAACAGCCCTTACGAACGGGTCAACTAACTGTTTTAGTCTGGTGACATCGCATGGGTTATTGTTTCGACGGCTCTTGTCTTGTTGATGATTCCTGGAGTCGGGTATGGAACCCAGGGCCACGAAGTCCAGCCCTAACCAAACAATTGCCTTGCTGACCACACAAGATTCTTCTATTCCGGTCTTGCCCGTCGGAAGTCGGCACTTTCGCTACTATGGCTATCGATGATGTCTGTCGGAATAGTCTCCTTTCAGTGGTTCTTCTGGGGTTACTCTCTCGCTTTCTCTCATACTGCCGGAAAATATATCGGTGACTTGAACAACTTTGGGTTCAAAGGTGTCCTGGGTGCACCGTCTGTTGGTAGCGACAAGGTCCCGGATCTCTTGTTTGCTGTCTTCCAGGGCATGTTCGCATGTATTACGTGAGTCTCAGGAACGCCCATATCTTTTCCACCTATACCCATTATACTTACAACCAACTAGCGTGGCGCTCGCAGTTGGTGCTGTCGCAGAGCGTGGCCGCATGCTTCCCTGCATGGTTTTTAGCTTTGTATGGTCCACCATTATCTACGATCCTCTGGCATGCTGGACCTGGAACTCGAGCGGTTGGGTAGCAAACCTTGGTGGTCTTGATTTTGCGGGTGGTACACCCGTTCACATCGCCTCTGGTTGCACCGCATTGGCATACTCATTGATGCTTGGAAAGCGCCGCGGACACGGTACCCATGAGCTCAACTATCGCCCACACAATGTCACACATGTGGTTATCGGTACTGTATTCCTTTGGGTTGGGTGGTTTGGATTCAATGCCGGCTCCGCCTTGAGCGCCAACCTTCGTGCCGTCATGGCAGCCGTAGTTACCAACCTCGCCGCCGCCGTGGGTGGTGTTACCTGGTGTCTTCTGGACTACCGATTGGAGAGGAAATGGTCTACTGTTGGTTTCTGCTCCGGCGTGATAGCCGGCTTGGTGGCCATCACCCCCGCATCAGGCTTTGTCACTCCCTGGGCCTCTTTCATTTTCGGTGTCGTAGGAGCCGTCGCTTGCAACTATGCCACGAAACTCAAATACGTGATCAAGGTCGACGACGCGCTTGACATCTTCGCTGTCCACGGTATTGGAGGTCTGGTAGGCAACCTTCTGACTGGGCTTTTTGCTGCGTAAGATGACCCGTACCCTCCGTCCGTGTGTGCAACAGCTAACATAACCCCAGTGATTACATCGCTCACCTTGATGGCTCTACCACAATCGATGGCGGTTGGATCAACCACAACTACATCCAGCTAGCTTATCAGCTCGCCGACTCCGTTACTGGAATGGCATACTCTTTCTTCGGAAGCTGCATTATCCTCTTCATCATCAACTTGATCCCCGGTCTCAGCTTGCGTGCCCCCGAAGAAGACGAGATTATGGGCATTGACGACGCCGAGATTGGCGAGTTTGCTGTAAGTCACTCCTTGACTAGACTAACCATCCAATGACAACTAACTGACATGAAAATAGTATGACTACGTCGAAATTACCCGCGACGTGATCAGTGCCGCCAACAGTGAGAACGGCGAAGCTGCTTCCAAGCGTAGCTTGACTCCAACAGGCAACGAGACAACCATAGAGACCAAAGCTTAACCCATTTCTTGTCTATGAGTTGAGCTTGATATCTTTTGCTACACGTTTCTTTTCTTTACATTAATCATAGTATCATCGTGCAAGGTCGCAGGGTAGTTGTCACCTTGACCGCCCACCACGATACCTTTGTATATACTTATGCACCCATTCATTCTTTCCAAGATTTCCTTTCTGTCATTTTCATTCACTTCTCACTTGATCATCGGAAAAGCAGTACATGTCATTACTGTTTTGTCTCTGATGCTTCTATTCGACCATCTTCCTTTCTCTTGATCCCCATTCTTTGCTTTCTTTGCAGATACCCTTCTCTACCCTGATATTGACTTACATATTCATTTACTTTCTATTCCATGAAGTTTCCCTATTTATTTTCTATTTTCTTCGGTATAAACTTCAGAATAACGGTCCCAAAACAGCACCCAACCCCGAATCAATGAAACCTCAACTTTCTACTAAGTATATAAAACATAATGAAACCTACACAGACCATACCTCCACCAGAAAACGAAACCAATCCCACAAAGTAGAAGTAGAAATATATTCCATAATATAGCCCTCTTTCCTAGGGTTTACACATAACATAAGCACTTAGTGCCCCACACTTAAAAATATCTAGGCACGTCTCAAACATGGACCGGCTCTAGGACACGCCCCAGACACTTACCATCCCGAAGCACTCCAAAGCAACCATGAAGCGCGCAACATCACCATATCAAGTATATAAAAGTATCTTTCTCGAAAACTGTCTATGCTATACCTAGACTAAAGCACTAGAATATATTAAAAGCATCTATCTTTCCCAGGACTATCTCGCAACCAACCTCCAATTTCATAGGAATGAACTATAGTGATATGTCTTTTCATGGGGGCATAGGTATTTGCATTAGTATCCTTCCTTTTATTAACTATGTCTGCCGTTACGACCGTCAATGAGTTTGGTGTATGGTTACTAGTTTGAAGCCTACTACGGCTTATGTCAGAGCCGGGGGTTTATGATACTCATAAAGATCTCGATTAAATAAAGAAGGTTTCATTTCAAGGTCTAAAGAGGTTGAGGTAGAGTATCTTGAAAGACTTGGAAAATTCATTCTTGGTACAGAAAACAAAAAGACACAAAACATTGCTCTAGTCTATCCAGTATCAGCCACCATGCTGATGCCCGTGCGGTATCTACTTTATCAAACAGACAAAACGCAAAACGCAAATTTCAAAACTTGAAAAGAAACAACTTTCCACATCTTCGATTCCCATGTCTAGCCTTATCCCGATCGCCATCAAAATGCTAGTGGAGCTTAAGAAGAAGGCTCAGCGGAAGGCGTAGACGAAGAGGAGGCAGAGGGAGAGGGAGAAGCCGAGGGAGAAGCAGAAGGAGACGAAGAAGGAGAAGGAGGGGTGAAGACGATGTTTCCATTGAAGTGGCACTTCTTTCCATTATCGGTGCCATTCACATTGGAACAATTCCAGTTGGTGTCCTCGGCGGCATCATCAACGGTAAGAGAGACTTTCGAGGTGCTGTTTTCCCGCTGCACCTGCAAGGTGAAGGTGGAGATGTCGTCCACGCCGTCTGGGAACTGGACCAAATACGCACCGTCGCTGGTGCGAGCGTTTGAGGGAGGGTTTCCGGGACGTTCCCTAGCCATGTATGTTAGCTTGGTCGTTGACCGGAGAGGAGGTGGGGGAGAAGGAGCGTACCAGAGCACGTTGGCATCGATAGGTGCCTTGTTGTAGTTAGGGTCACTGAAGCTGAAGGTGACAAATCCCTGCTGGTCGTTCTGAGAGGCAGAAAAGCCGCTGATGGCGACAGCTTTCTGGGCTCGCTTGCCAGGCACGGCCAGCGCGGTGCCGGCAGCCAGGAGGAGGGTGCCGATAGTGGTGGCCTTCATCTTGTTCGATGATTGAGTCTATCAAATGAAGAGGAAGTAGATTATGGAGAGTCAGGAGTAGTTTAGTGATTGAGTGGTTGACAATTGAGTTGGATTGTTGAGGACGATTATATTCAGGATGAGGATTAGCGAGCTTTTATATCCCGGTGATCCCTTGATTACAATCTTCACGGTAGCGGCAGAATATAGATGGTGAGATGGGCACTGCTGCGCTCAGCCCACATGCTGTCTCAGCATGCATATACTAATTCCAAGCTCGAGCGGCTGTGGCTGAATCTCGACACTTCCCTCAGGCCTCCCAGACAGTAAGACGGGTCATCCCCGACCGTGTCCAACGACGATCCCACAGGTACAGTAGCCCTAACACAGTATAGGTTAGGCCGATTTGAAGCTTTGTGGATGCGTTAACTTTGGCGTCTCACCCTGCAGCCCAGGCTAAACTCCAGACGAAAATAAGCATCCTTAATATAGCAACTATGCTTGAATGGGATGATGTAAGATGATGGAAGAGAATCCAGTGTCTGACTGGGGACTTGTGGCCCTTTTGCCCAGTTGTTGTCAACCTCGTTGAAATAGCTCACCATCGCACTATCTGTACTTAAAGTGACCATTTGGGTGATTATTAGTCGGGAATAAGTCTAGAATATTGAATAAATAGCATTGAATTGTTCTTCGGTAAATATGGCTCGGCTAAGATGGTCGTCAGCTTCGTCTAGATAAATGGGGCCAGAATGGACTAGAGTAGAGTAAGCATAAATCTTACCGAGTTTCCAGAGGAGGGAAAATAAATTATCCATGTGTTCCTGCATTACTCTGAGAATCAATACTAAAGACCCCTTCTTCAGCTCTAAAGGAAACCGATGTTGTGGCAAGAAGTCATGGCACCTTCTTACATTATTTGTATCGTTTGATTCCTCCCTAATATGGCGTTTGACTCAATACGTTTCGTTGAACAAGAACGATAATTCTAAGGGATACACATATATACATCTTTCTGACTTCCTCGATAGATTTGGGATATCATATTTACGTTGGGCGCGATAGATATTTCAAAGAATAATTCCTACAACGTTTTGACAATGACAATTCATGTAACAGTAATATTCAGCTACAATACGGCGTATATCTCAATGATTTGTAATTTAAGACCATATTCTTTTCAAGACTTCAGGCTAATCGCCACCACTAGAATTTCATTGAGCTCAAATTGGCAGAGAGATATTCCCTAACACCTTCAACTCCGGGATACTCAGCACAATCCCAGATAATTGAAGAGCACCACCGAATCAGGCCCAAAACGGCAACAATACAACCCGACTGGGAAAGGGTTCCATTTTAGGAATTGGAAAAGGTACAAACTAATCCCAATCCAGTACTACAAAAGAGAGCACGGTTCTAACTAGATCAGCCCTAAGAACCCCGCATGCTCAACATTACAAAGCAATCTACTTCGTATCCTTGATGATTCGGAATCGTATACTCAAGATGCGAGTGATTAGTAAACTACTAAGTTTCTGATATAGTTATAAAAGCTGAAGAATCCGGTTCCCAGTACTACTACTAATAATCTTAAACCATACCATCTCAACCCTCGTCGAGCTACCATATATATAGTCCACCCCTCATACACCAAAACAACAAGAAACAAAAGAATAGAACCACCATGCCCTACCCACTGAGATCTCTCGAGCAAAAAACCCCTGTAACCCCCATCGGTTACGGGGCAATGTCCCTCAGCGCCTATTACACCAACACACCCGAACCGGACTCCAAGCGCCTCGCCTTCTTAGACCACGTCTACGCCACGGGGCAGCGCTTATGGGATACAGCGAACAACTACGGTGACAATGAGGAACTAATTGGCAAGTGGCTGGCGCTGAATCCCGACAAACGAAAAGATATAGTCCTGGCGACTAAGTTCGGACAGGTGGGTAGCGGACCGGGGAGAAATGATGCAGAGTATGCGCGAGAGTGTTGTGAGAGGAGTCTGGAGAAACTTCAGACGAGTTATATCGATTTATTCTATGTGCATCGGGTTGATACGGCGGTTCCTATTGAAAAGACCGTGGAGGGGCTGGTGGGACTGGTACGGTGGGTTTCGCATTTCTCTTCCCTTTTCGGGGGAGATGTTGATTGGTATTAATGTTTTACTATAGAGAAGGGAAGATTCGCCATATTGGTCTTTCGGAGGTGTCGCCTCAGACGCTTCGAAGAGCTCACGCTGTGCACCCCATTGCCGCAGTCCAGATGGAATACAGTCTTTTTGCGTTGGACGTTGAAAAGCCCGAGACTGACCTCCTGAACACCACGAAGGAACTCGGCGTCGCACTTGTGGCATATTCACCTCTAAGTCGGGGTCTATTGTCCGGCCGGTTTAAGAGTCCTGATGACCTAGAAGAGGGTGATTTTCGAAAGGGAATACCACGTTTCTTTCCAGAGAATTTCCACAAGAACCTAGAGCTGGCGGAGAAATTGCGTGCCATTGCTGTCCAGAAAGGCATAACGGTAGGCCAGTTGGCGCTGGCATGGTTGTTAGCGCAAGGTGATAATGTCATTCCCATTCCAGGGACAAAGAGTATCGACTACTACAATGAGAATATGGGGGCATTGGAGGTGGAGTTGAGTATGGAAGATATGCGTGAGATTCGAGCAGCAGCGGAAAAAGCTGATGTCAGGGGCCATCGATACGCAGTGGAGACGTCTCCGAACTCTTATTTTGCAGATACGCCTCCATTGGAATGAGTGGTGGGATTAAAAAAAAGAGAATAGATAGTTGATTATGTTGGGACTAGGGCTGTACAAAATATTGCACCAGTTGATTGCTTTTGAACTATGTGCTGTTTGATTTCAATAGTCTCAAGGGCTCTACAGGCCTTTCGAAATTAAGAACAGGAAAGTTATTAAAAACGCTCGGACAAAATAATGTAATGACCAAGACCCGTGAACCAGGCCAGAGCCAGAGAACATGGACTTATCAAGGGTATTGCTGTCAGATCTCAATCCGAGTCTTCAGTGACTGGAAGCTATTTACTCCTCGTGCTCAAGGGGCTCCTCCTCGAGGCTGCAAGCTGATTAACACAAATACTTAAGAGTAGGGCCAACGGGGATCACTTACTATTCCTCCTCACCCTCGGAGATGGAGGCGTCCTGGTACTGCTGGTACTCAGAGACAAGGTCGTTCATGTTGCTCTCAGCCTCAGTGAACTCCATCTCGTCCATACCCTCACCAGTGTACCAATGCAAGAAAGCCTTGCGACGGAACATAGCAGTGAACTGGTCGCCGACACGCTTGAAGAGCTCCTGGATGGAGGTGGAGTTTCCGATGAAAGTGGAGGACATCTTGAGACCACGGGGAGGAATGGAGCACAGGGCGGTCTGGATGTTGTTGGGGATCCACTCAACGAAATAGGTCTGGTTCTTGCTCTGGATGTTGCGCATCTGGTCCTCAACCTCCTTCATGGAGACCTTTCCACGGCTATAGAAGGGTCAGTTTTAGAACAAAAGAGGGTATAACAAATAGAAAACAGGGGTCACATACAAGATGGCAGAGCAGGTGAGGTAACGACCGTTACGGAAGTCAGAAGCAGCCATCATGTTCTTGGGGTCGAACATCTGCTGGGTCAACTCAGGAACGGAGACGGCACGGAAAGAGTGGGCGCCGCGGCTGGTCAGAGGAGCGAAGCCAACCATGAAGAAGTGGAGACGAGGGAAAGGAACCATGTTGACGGCCAACTTGCGAAGATCAGAGTTGAGCTGACCGGGGAAACGGAGACAGGTGGTCACGCCGGACATGACAGCAGAGACCAGGTGGTTCAGGTCACCGTAAGAGGGGTTGGAGAGCTTGAGGGTGCGCATGCAGATGTCATACAGAGCCTCGTTGTCGATACAGAAGGTCTCGTCGGAGTGCTCGACAAGCTGGTGGACGGAAAGGGTGGCGTTGTAAGGCTCAACAACGGTGTCAGAGACCTTAGGGGAGGGGACAACAGAGAAGGTGGCCATCATACGGTCGGGGAACTCCTCACGGATCTTGGAGATCAGTAGAGTACCCATACCGGCACCGGTACCACCACCGAGGGAGTGGGTGATCTGGAAGCCCTGGAGGCAGTCGCAACCCTCAGCCTCGCGACGGACAACATCGACAACCTGGTCAACCAATTCGGCACCCTCGGTGTAGTGACCCTTGGCCCAGTTGTTACCAGCACCGGACTGGCCGAAAACGAAGTTGTCGGGACGGAACAGCTGACCGAAGGGACCGGCACGGACGGCGTCCATGGTACCGGGCTCAAGATCGACGAGGACGGCACGAGGGACATACTTGTTTCCGCTGGCCTGGAGAAGCGGTCAGGACTTGCAAAGCGTTTTCATAGAGGCTGAAAAATTTGAGGTACGCACCTCGTTGAAGTAGACGTTCATACGCTCCAGCTGGAGATCAGAGGAGCCATTGTAACTATCCTTCCCGTCAGACCCATTCCAACTCTTCCAATGCCATCTGCTCGTCGTTCGTTCGAGGTGTACACGGACTGTACTTACACACCGGAGCCGTCAAGGCCGTGCTCGCCAGAGATGGTCTGCCTGCAAGGATGTTAGCAAACGCAATAGGGCACATCCGAGTTCATGCTTCTGTGAAGTTCCTTGGTCCAAAGCATATTAACTCGAAGGCATCGAGACATACCAGAAAGCGGCACCTATTTGGTTACCCTATCACGAATATCACGTTTAGTATCCGTCGCCATGGTCCTTCTAGACATCAAATCATAGTCGAACTTACACACTGGCCGGTCTGAAGGTGAACCTATAGCATGAAACAAACTCCGTCAGTAAACTTGAATCATTGGAGAACGGGTGGGGTCCCTATCAGCAGGGGGGGGGGGGGGGGTTATCCCCGAAAAACGCGTCTGAAGAGGGGAACCGGGGGGGTAGGGGAGCAACATACGATCTCACGCATTGTGGAAGGAATATTGGCGGTGTTGGTAGGATAGGGTGGATTTGAAAGAGGCGAAGAGGTGGTTGGCGAAGGGTTGTTGGATAGACTGGGGGAGACAGTCGACGGGGAGTAGGTAAGAGAAAGAGGAGAAGAGAGAAGGAGGAAAGATGGACTTGTAGTTGAGCGGTGAGGAACGTCAAGTTGTTCGTTGTGTGGGCGTCAGGGGATCAACAAGTCAACATTGGCTTAGTTTATTTTTTGGGCAGGTAAATAGGGGCTCTTCCCCTATTCAGGTTAGCGCTGTCACGAGACTGCAGGAGCGAACCACAATTGAGTTGGCGGGTTCAAGCCACTGGTCATCCACTAGTGGATTAGCAGTAGTATATACCAGTAGTACGCCTGTAAAAATAGTTCGATTCGGATCTTGTCATGCCAGACACCACCAACAACATATGGATCGATCGCGAATTAAATACAATTCTACATATCCCAGAGTAGGTATAATACACGAAGCTTTCTGGAAATGAACTCCGCAGCTCAGTACTGGTGGAGATCCTCAACGGTTCGCACACAGTTCTGGAGTAGGTTCCTTAAGCTAGAGGTGACATAGCACAACTGCCACAAGATCGCCCGAGTCCCTCATTTGGCCGTGTTCTCCACAGTATGAGAGCTCTCGAGCCAAGTGCCAAATTCATCCAATCGCTGCCTCTCTTCCTCATCCTCATCGGCATCAAGTCCCTTCTCCGCCAAGTCCTCAAGAGCCGCTCGTTTCTCGTTAGTCTTCTTAAATCGCTCGCTACCATCGGAAATGTAAGCCTCAACGCGGGTACCGGCGAAAAACCGGCCGTCCATAAGCTGTAAAGCACGATCGTTAGCACCTACCAGACCAGTATTTCCTTGTCCCTGAAGGACACTTGAGTCTATATGCACATACCTTTACACAGTTTCTTGCAGCTTCTGGATCTTGGAACTTGACACTAACCACTCCATCGGTTTCCTTATCGTAAAGGACTACGTTCGTCACTTCTCCCAGGTTGGAACACTCATCACGTATGTCCTCCTTGATGTCAAGGATGGCTGCTGGGTCATCCTAATGACATTGTCAGTCGATGTAAGCAGGATACGAAAAGAATAAAGAGAAAGGAAAAAAAGGCCCATACATCAAGTTCTTTCAGAGTGAACATATGCTTCAAGATGACAACTTTTTCAAACTTAGAGTTGGTCTCTGGTAAAGCAGATGGTTCGTCATCATCCCAATCGGCAAGTTTGCTGTTCCACCACATTAGCAAGTCTCTCCTACCAAACCACCATTCATACTTGTAGTCCCATACTTATTTAATCTCTGGGTTCTTTGAATGATCTTTCTCTTATCCTTCGCGCTGGTCTTGGCCGGTGCCTCTTGTTGGCTTTTGTAAGAGAAATCTGCAGGTTGGACCCGCATAGGCCCCTGCGGCCCTGTTACACCTAATCTGAAATCCGAGTCATCCAGCATCTGGATTGCAAGGTTGACAGATTCTGGGCGAAAGAACACGACGAGAGCTTCACCCTTGAATTTTCCATCGTCGTCCATGTACATCTTAATCCGTGGGCGGCCGCTGTCAATTTCCTCGGCGATGACGCCACACTTAGAAAAGACATATCTGATTTCTTCGAAGTCAGCGTCAAGAGGAATGGACGTGACATAGACCGCTGTGTTAACACGCGGTTTCTTCGATTTTTGGCCATTCCCCTACGTAGAAACCACCAATGTTAGTCTCACGGGCTTGCGACATGACACACTAAAGATGAATACCCCAACTTACCTCATCTTTTGTCGCTTGCTGCTTGCGTTTCTTCTTGAGTTGCGATGCCGTGACTTCGTCATTGTCATCTACGCCCTGAACTTTATAGGCTTCTTGTTGTTGTCGGAGCAGTTGTTCATCTACCTGGAGAATACCCACGGGCGCGCAAAAGCGGCGCCCACCACGAGATCAGTTTCACGAACCATGCAAAGTCCTTGCAGTCATAGCCATCCCAGCATATTTGCAACGGAAGAAGGTTCTTAGGCGCTTTCACGCGCAGGCGCAATAGAAAACAACAGCAGAGCAGGATTTCAACAGCCGGGAAAACACAACAGGAATCACCAGCTGGAGAGAAAGCGCGCACACACCGTCGGAATCCATCGCTTCAAAGCCGTATCGTATTCAAACTCCTGGCCATCTTCTGTTTCCAAAATGAATTTGTCGTCTAGTTTCGAGAAGGAAATGCGCGGGTCGCTGTCGAATTCGGAAGGATCCTGAGGGAAGTTGCTCAGGGCACCCTCGGGACTGGGGGATGCCATAGCGGCGAAGACGGGTGCAGGATTACTGGAACGCTGGAAAGTAAATGAACAAAGGGTCTATATGGATAATCAAATGATCAAGGAAGACAGACAGTAGATCGAGGTTCGGGGTTGGTGGGGGGAACTTTGGTACGCAGGATTGCTACTACACAGTAGTAAGCACGGAGAGTGACGATTAATACCATACCTACTACTAGTACTACTTCGCCAGTGGCATGAGCTGCTGTCATGCTCTCCCATTGGCTGGTATTACAATTTCATTGCTTACTAATTGATTACCAAAAAGTGGCCTTAGGCCGCCTACCTTGATTGGCAACAATTTAACCCTTATTAGCCCCAACGTAATCTGCTTGTCATTGTTTAGAACCCAGATAAAACTCGGCGGGCATCCTTTAATTACAGGAAAGCCTATTGCAATGGGCTCAAGTCATATACCGTGTACTCGAGGTGACTGTCACGTGAATGACTACCTCGTAAGTACACGTACAGCTCAGTAGTACGGTGACTTCGACACAGTTTCTAGACCTCATACAAAGAACCAAGCGCCATCATATGCGGGGCATAGGTGTGACTTGAATAGAAGCTATGATCGGTGCCCGAACATTCTCACGATGACCTGGGAGTAAGCACATCACTAAGTTGGCCTAGGCCACGTACCTAGTACCGCTTTCAGTTGCATGCATACGGTGTGTAAATTGAAAAAAGATCCGACCCATAGCCCTACGGTAGCTACTACTAACTCCTTGAACACGAATGTACCAAGGATAGCAAATAAAATGAATTACACGTAGAGAACCTCTTGCCCTCTGCTCTCATATTTTAGACCTTTATTATTGATTCACCCGGTTGTACATATACTCGCGCACTGACTGGGCAACCCCCCTTGCATCATGGTTCAGTGCCACTTCCTACCTAACCCCACCTTGATTCGAACAACCATCAACGTTAACCATCAACCAATATGTCCGAGAACTTTGATTTAGATAAAGACCTTGAGGTATCAGGCATTGTCGTTGCGGGGCACATCAGTGACAAACTCGTTTCGGATGTTCAGCAGGAGTTGGAGAAGAAACGGGATACTATACAACAACGGAGCCGACAGATTCAGTTACACTGGAACGCCGAATGCGATGCTGTGATGTTCTATTTTGACATTGTAAGAGAGTGTAGGGCACTGCCAGCAGCTAGATCTAACTCCTGCTTCAGGTAATTAAGCCGTCCATCGCAATTCTAGAAGACAGGCCATGCTTGAGCCGATGGTTCGTTCAATATCATGATCGCCCGAAGGGAACGTCGATTTACAAACCCCGAGTCGAGAAAGGCACTTACAACGTCCTGATCGTCATTGAACCGGGGGCTGGCTTTCCCCGGTTCTATGAGGGCTCGCATGTCGAGAGCGAGAATGAGATGATAGCACCCGCCGTTAGTACCTATGCTGTGGAAGTCCCTCAGCAAAAAGGAGCGGTGGTTGTATTTGATGCAACGCTAGGGCGTCGAGACTCTGCAGTGGAGGGTATTGGAGCGTCCTGCATCATGTTGGTATATTGAGCCGTGCCAACTGCGGCCGCAGAATAGAAAACTATTTTCTGAAACACACTGTATTTACATTCATATACCTACAGAAATATCGCAATAGAAAAAAACCAAGACTCAGGCCCAGGCTGTCCCACAATTAGGAGGGCCCCTCAAAACTGATTAAGGTAATACAGCATACAATCACGGCGTAGGGTGGCTACAGATGAGCTTGAGGACAATCCCAGACCGGCGTGATGTATTATTCTGTTCTATACACTGGAACCTGCTGCCAACCCATGTTTTCTGACTGCACTGCGAGTATGACCCCTGAAACCAGTCATGACCATAGGAAAACATGGCTTCCCATTCTTTGATACACAAGGGGAAGAGGTTGGTAGGACAATGGGGTGAAATACCCAATATTCGACTCCATCAGCCAACTAAAAGTATTCTCATGTTTGAAGTGCAGTACTTTCATGAAATGTAAGGGGTCTGTTTATTGCCAAACATCCGAAACTGGACAATGTGTTCGGACAACCGAGACCAGCATCCTCAAAGAAGATTGAGGATGCGAAATCTTCCTGCGTCTTGAGTCCCATCTGCGGTTTCTTTCTCGATAGGGGAATATTGCAAAGATCTTCCGTTGGCAGGTTGATAGTGGGTAGAGCATTCGGGTACAGAGAGAATGAACACAGCTGCTTAAGAGCTAGGACTCACACGTGCGGTTATGCCATTTAATTCGGGGATAGCTTAATTCCTGAGTTCAAGTTCCCTGACTAAGGGCGATTTGCTATGATTCAGATATAACCCAATAGCCATGAGGTTTTATGTCAGGGGTGTATTACTGGTTCATGCCCTAGCCCCGTCATACCCCTGGAAAGCATGTTGGTGTCTACCTGGCGCGCAACTTAATATAAACTGCAAATCATGCACAGTCGATGAATCAAACTCTTCATAATTTCTTCGCAAGCATCTATTCATAATTGTGGATGGGGAAACATATGTATATGCCTTCCATTGTTGTGTGCCGATTTTGTAAAAGCGGCAGCACTTATTATGGGAAATGACAAGTTGCAACAACCAACCAACAGAGAATAGCACCTTTGCGTAATATCTAGAATATCAGTCAGAATTTATGCCACAAAGCTATCCACATTATTTCTACTGCTTATGAAAAAAATTCTACGGTTAGTTTAATGATGTCACTATTTGGGAAGCAAGGTAATAGTCTCGACGAACTTCTCAACCGACCACGCCCATCAGCCTGGCAGCAGTTTATGAAGCAGCCATGCATCTTTCTCGCGCGCAAGCTTTACACTTGGCAGAGCACAATCGCTGCCCAGCCAGTCAAAGACCCTGTCTCAATCGTATGCATCTCCGATACACATAATTCCCAACCTTCTCTTCCGGACGGCGACATTCTTATCCACGCAGGGGACCTGACTCAATCAGGGTCATTGAAAGAACTACAAGTGACACTGAACTGGCTACGCGCACAGCCGCATGCAACGAAGATAGTCATCGCTGGAAATCATGACCTATGTCTTGGTTGGGATATTAACCGTCTAAAAGCGGAGGACGAAACTCCCGACTGGGGAGATATAGTCTATCTCCAAGACTCAGAAGTGTCCATCACCTGTAACAATGGCCGTCATCTAAATATTTACGGCAGCCCCTACTCACCACGTCACGGTAACTGGACTTTCCAGTATTCTCGTTCTGAGGACTTCTGGGGCGGCAGGGTACCAGCTAACATCGACATACTCATAACACACACCCCACCACGCGCCCATCTAGACTTGCTCAATCTCGGCTGTACATATTTATTGCGCACGCTCTGGCGTGTTCGTCCCCGCTTGCATGTCTTTGGACATGTACATGAAGGCGCTGGGACCGAGTGGCTGCAGTTCGATGCGCTGCAAAGTGCGTATGAACGCACTGTTGTCGCTGGAGGCGGTATATGGAATGTTATCTATACGATGAAAGAGTTTGTGGGGAATTGCTTTCGTCCTACCACCGAAGCTAAGTGTCTACTTGTGAACGCATCCATCGTGGGTGGTCTCCGGGATCACGAGCGCCGACAGCCTGTCAAACTGTTCATTTAGTATATGTCAAACGGATTCCACGAGTAACTATGTGCCAAACCGTTCCATTTGAAACTTTCTTGGACGGTTGTCCCTCGACCATTCTTTACACGAACAGTACATGGGGCTGCTCTACTATGATATTCATCACCAAGAACTGCTTACTCTTAACATCCCCATCGGCACCTCTCCAGAGACATCCGTCTCACCAACGTCTGCTCCAACCTAGGCACCACCTCAACCTGGCCCGGTTCAATTTCAGAAACACTACCTCTCGATACCTCAGCTCTATCGCCATCACCTCATTTATGATGGCTGGGCTAACCCGTGGGAGCCCACGTCAAACCAGTCAATCAAACGCTACCCCTAGTTAAAGCGGAAGAGCAGCTAAAACAGTATATCGTACAAGGTGAGGATCCTTAGGATCAAGAATTCCGGACACCGTTCAGGACTGCTGGTTGAAGAACTCTATCTTTGTCCGCAAACCTTGGATGAATCCAATGACAAGGTACTCGTAGATGCGGACGCACTTTGAAGATCGAGACCGCGGAATTGCCCGTGGAAGAAAGAAATACGTTCTATGGCTGGAGACCTATTTGAGGGACAACATGTGATTTGTGGAGGAAAGACGTCAAATGATGTTTCCTTTGGGTTTATTATCGCTTTACTAAGAATGCTTGTATTGTTGTGCCCTCCAGTGTATTGGTAAATGCAAATTAGGGATACAAGTTTGGTCTCGGGAAGAACAAGGTCGGGCTCAAGGGTCAAGGCGCGACTCAACAATTCTTTGGGCTTGAATAATAGGACAACTAAGGATCCTATATCTCGATATTATGGAGTCTTCAAGTGCTTTTGGAATATAGTAAAGTAAACCTGTTAAGTACCTTAGTTCATATCGCTCAAATTGCACGACGAATTTGGCGTAGATTTTCTCGTAAAACGAAATTATCCCCTTTCTCTCACTAGCCCCGCCATATCATACTACAGTAGATCTAGCTTTGCAAATAACGCGACAAAGAACGGCTTTTCTCGCAATAGTAGCGCATATTGTCCATGCCCATACTTAAAAAAAGGGACATTGACCGGTTCGTGTACCTTTCAAGCCCTGGGCGTACTCCTCCAGGGATGCTCGACCCTTGCCTTCGAAGTACTTGGGTCCTACATCAGGTGTATAGTAGCCCCGGGGGTAATACTTATCACCTTCGTCGCCTGGAAGAGGCCGACCCATAGCCCAGGTAAGCCAAGCGACAGGGCCCCAGCGGTTCCAGAAAGTAGGCGCGACGTAATAGGGCGCCGCATCCCACTGGGTGATGAAAATGCGATCATTCTGGTCCGGATGCTCGGTGAAGGCAGTGAAACGGAGGAAATAAGGTCGGGGGAGCGACAGGTAACGCAACACAAAGCGGCGAACGGACAGGAGCGACGAGAACAGTTTAGCATATGATGCCGGGGGAGGGTCATACCTAGGTCCAGGGTTAATCGTTGCACGAGCGACTACCTTCGGGTTATACTTACAACATCGCGCGTCGTAGGCGGTCATCCATCATGAACGAAACGAAGTGCAGTCCGATCTGCTGGAACGGCTTCGGGACCATGTACAGTAGCACGGCCGTAGTCTGATCCGCGGTCTCCCGGTTCGTGGCATGGGGAACCATGTGCTTAGCTTCGTACGCTTCACTCCAGGTGGTCATCTCCTCTAGCCACTGGAGGCCATCGCGGAATCCCGTCTTATGCGACGGAAAGGCCTCGTAACCGATTGCGAGACCATCGCCGACGCTCTTCCAGAATGTGCCGATAGCACACTTCTCGAGGTCGGTCAGATTTCGCCACTCGAACATTTCGATGAACCGTATGGGTACGAGAGCAAACAAGCTAAGCGTGTAGAGCATATCATCCTCGGATATCTTTCCCGAGGTGCGATAGCCATTGTGGAGCCAGCGGGTTCGAGCGATCGCAGTGATAGTACGTTTAGAAGATGGGGCGTTGCCCATGAATTCCTGAACCAAGGCGCTTGTGTCTGCGTAACGCTTGTAAGATGTCTCCGGATTAGAGAATTGGCTGGTCTTGGTGAGCAGCCCGGAGATGGTGGGGATTCCGTAGGTCTTCACTGGGTCAATTTAGGTTACCAGACAGTCCACAAAAAAGTATAAGAACTCAATCAGGTGGAAAAAGGAGCCGAACCCTGAAGAGAGCAAATTGCAGAGCTTTAATATAGATAAAGGGAAATTCCAGCTGCAAAAGCACTTTCTGGATTTCCCAGGCCTCGTCGTCGGTCATTTTAGCCAGGGATGCCCGGTTGGGGTACTTGTACTTTTGGTGTAGCCATTGTACCCGGCGAAATCGGAGCAAGGAGACCAGTAATGGATATGCTATCAGGATTGCGAGGGCATATGGAAGAAGCTGGCGAGGTCCAATGTCTAGAATTGCTTGCGGGACTGAATTGTTGATGCCAGCTGTGATTGCTTGGCTCTCATTCCCCATCGCTTCGCCAGACGTCAACAAACTTGAGTATGCTGTGGAGTCTGTATTTAATTCAACAGTCTGACCGGGGGGAAATTAACATGCACACCGGAAATCATAAGCTTCAAGTCGCAACAACCCGGTTCAGATGGTGAGCACTAGACCTAGTTAAATATGATCTCCTGGGCAAGGGATGCGGAGTCAGCAAAGAACGATCACAGGATCTCTAGAATTAACTCGTGTTCAGCTCGCCAAGAGCTTAGCTTGACAAAATCGAACCCGTGCATAATTACTTCTCCATAGTAGTTCATCCATACTACTATGCATGAATAAAGTACGGGGTTCAATATAAAGAGTAATCTACTATTAGTCCATATTAAATTTATAGTATTAGTGTTTCAAGCCGAGGCCCTACCCCGAGGACTAAGTTATAAATTTGATTTAAGGGCTATTTATTCCTCATTACCAAGAGCTTCGATGGTCGTTTCCCCACAACCTAAATATTCCTGCCGAGTATCGAAGGACCTCGGGTATGAACACATGAGAGAGGGGAAGCATAACTTTATGTAGATCGTTGCATTCAGAGCATATACTAGTGTATAATAGCAATAAACTCCCTGCTGATATCTTGTGCCCTAACCTGGGCACCTGATTCAACTATCCACTTTTAGACTAGTTTGATTTATCATCGCTCGCCACGGTCTCTTTTTGGTTGCTTACGGTCCAATTCTAAATTACATCACATACCTTCATCTCTTTTTAATGAATTGAATCACCAGAGCTCCACGCACGTCGAAGGGTCTATGCGTCACTCTTCACTGAGTGAAAGTTCATATGGTCTTTTTTACTAAAAATAGTCAAGTCCACAAGAAAACGTCCTTATCAACTCATGAGTCATGAGACAAAGAGACAGAGATATACTATGGGGTGATACGAAGTAACACATAGTTCCTTCTTATAAGCAATGCAATTAGAACACATCGTTTCTATCTCCCATTCTTATTATATAAGAAGCAAATATTCTATGCCTTGCAAAACTCCGTCTATTGCCATAGCGAAAAGACAAGCTTCTAACGTGCAGCTTCAGCTTAGTCTATGGTGCATTGTGTGCGAGCATGACCAGTCATACGTCCGTACGTACAGAGTATATTGATTGGCGGTCTTACTTCTTAAAGCCATTCGAGCCATCCCATGCAAAGTGGCTATCCAAGGTCTCTAAAGCAAAACACCACATGTATAACCGGTGGCTCCAATCTCAGACAGATAGGTCACCATGAACGTATATGGATGGCATCTCATGGAAGCAAAATATTTCTTTCACCGTCCAATTACTCTCAACTCCAACATTCTCAGCGGAGGGAAAGCAAGGGTCGTGAAACCGAAGCCGAGCCAGATTCCTAAGTCACAGCCTCCTGTGACTGCTTGCCCAATCGGCCCCGTATAGTACACTTGGTCCTATAAGGAAAAAGGGAATGAGTTAGCACTGGCCTCAAGCGGATGAATCAGGGATATACTGTACCATCCCTACAATTGCCCCCGCCCAGCCAACCAGGAAAGCTAAAGCAGCAGCAACCCCTACCGGCAACTTCTGTCGACAGTTCCACGCGGACCAGTCATAGCCTTGGCTACGTCGAAAGAGAAAGTCCTCCTCCACAACAATAGTAAACCAGATGATGATCCAATAACCAATCAGTGGAAGGAAGCTCTTGAAAATTTCGTATAGGAAATCTCGTCCACCAATCGCGCATGCCGTGTATATCACTGTCGTAGTAACAGTGAAGACAGGACGTGGGATTTTCGACCATACATTCCCGAGCATCTGGAAATTCATAGCCATTGAATAGGAACCAGGCGCATTACTGGAGACCACCGTCACGACATTGATGAACGCGCAGAATTTGCCAAAGCCTCCAAGTCTGCCATAACCAGCCATCAATAGACTCGCCGGCGTACCATCATAAATTTCAGCCCACTTGGGGTTTTTCGCCACTCCACTTCCTAGACCAACTCCAAGGAGAAGAGTGATGATCATCGCCAAGCATCCTCCCATCATGGTCATTGACCATGTTTTCCATCGCTTAATAGTCGGCGGATAGTAGACATAGTAGTCTGCAGCTAACGGTGCCCATGCGAGGGATACAGACACACAAAGAGAGAAGAATGCCAGACGTTTGGCATTGACTTCGTCTGATGATCCAACCGATGAACTTTCGAAATCAAACTGCGGTCCTGCCGATCCAGTGATGATGCAGAGCACCAATAACTGCGGGAACCAAGCATATCTGCAGGGTTCACATTGCTGAGTTAGTTCCAGAGAAGCTGACAGAGGCAGACACCAAAGCATGGTTCATACCTCTCATAATATTGGAAGATCTGCATTCCAAATGTAGCCATCACCAAGCTTGCAAGCGCGACAATAATAATGCCAACGACGACGGATACGGCTCCACCTGATATTTTTGAGAGTAATTGCCCGCCGATCATACAATTCATCATCCCATAACCCAAGTTTGTAAGCACATTTAGCGAGCAGCACACCTTGCTAGGGTAGTACCCCATAAAATATCGGGCGACTATCTATCGACAACAAGTGAGCTGCATGTACTTCTCTTTCTTGCATAACAGGGACAGGGACGAACAGAGGTTATATGCAACGGATGAACCATACAAGAGTGCGATTCCCACTTCTGGGACCCCAAGTGCTCATATACCCAACTGCCATACCCCCCAACAGATTTCCAAATATTGCGCAAAGAGCAGCATCTGCAAAGCTCAGCTTCATTACAAGCGTGCCCAATGATCCAACCACCATGTTGTTCACGGCCATCCCCATGCTGAACCACATAAGCAGCATATGAAGTGATGCTGATGGGCTAGTCTTCAGGCGTTCCTCAAGCGGTATTGGCTCAATCCCACGCGCCTCGAGGCCCTTGATACTGCCTGCCCATCTTTGGTACCTCGATCTGTGACTTGCATTAAGGGGAGTCTGATCTTCTAGCTCCTCTTGTGCAACACTCTGAACGGAAGGGGATATACGAGTTTTTTCAGCCTCAGACATCATGCTGGCTTTCAGGACGGGCCGTCACTTGGTCAAAAGGAGCCGGGTCTGCCTACTTCTCTGCTCCTTCTTGTCGGAAACAATAACGTGGAAGCTTGACCGAGCTACAAGTTGCCGAAAGAAGATAGTCAGGAAAAGACGAACAACGTTTCACGGTATATATAGGGACACAGAGATGTGCAGCAGAAAAGGGGGAGACTCAGGGAAGGAGTTTGCTGCTCACACAGTGCTACTAGTTTGACATCACCCTATCACCTGCCCTACTTGATGCTAGCATTCCACAGCTGGTGTGTACACGGTACCAGGACCCGGCACTTTGACCGCACGACCCTGTTAAATTCATCGGACAGGCACTCATGATGCAGGTCATCATGGAAAATAAGTTCAACCCCATCCATGGGAAGAGAAAGAAGGGAACCTAGCGCTAAACAAGGGCTCGGTATTTTCGGGTTTATCAAAATTCCCATCACCTCTATGGCCCTCTAGTCAACTTTTTGGCTCAAACACCCGAATCACCTCTATTACAGTCAAGCTAATATGGTGCAGATCGTCCGGGTTCCGTGATTTGTCACATCATCATGCCCATTACATTCCATTACTCATATTGGTATTAAGCTCTCCAACACGGTCGTCTGGTATGCACCAGCCAAGCAAGGAGAGACAGTGAGAAAGATACAACGTAGCTCAACGTCCGAGGATCCGGGCAATTCAGAAAAAATCCCCGGAGCTCATACTAGCCCACTTGGAAGAAAGTTTGACAAGTATGAATATGATGCTATGATCATCTCTCGAAACTGAGTCGAGGTAATTCTTTTTGTCAACGCAAGCCCCTCGACTAGCCGTATGAGTCTTTCAGCTCGCCACCATGCTGCCTACCTTTCAGACATCTGGTCAATCCAAGAATAACGATCACATTTCGAAACCCCTCGTTCAGGGACTTTGCTGTCTCTCAGGTTTCCGAGCAAGTGGTCCCTTTTACTAAATCTGAAATAGCGCGCTCTTGCAGATCACGCATGACCTAATTATGATTACCACACCAGTGGAACATTGTATAATACTGCTAGTGCGCGCGTCGGGTTTCCTTTGTTCCGGCCAGTACGTATCGGGATCACTAAAAAGAACCGCAGTTTGATCTTGAGTCATGTCGTGCATAACCAATGAGCCTAGTGAGACAGTACCGTCGATTCCCGAACCACATCCAGAGAAGACACGGCCCTTATTCTCTATCGCGCATACAGCTCTCTAGTTTCTTCCTTCAAAACCCCCATAACCATCTAAGTAAACCTATCCAACACCCACCCCAAAGGAATTCACTCAAACGCACAAAGTAAGCAAAATAACCGGGCACGTAGCATATAAAATGAATTCCCTACCCGAAACACGTTAAACAAGATGGCACAAAACAGGGGGGAAGAAAAAAGACTAGAAACATATCCCTTGATGATCTAATTTCCCAAATAGGAAACTAGCAACGTCTCTTTGAAATCAACGAAACAGTATTGTTGATATTTTAGCTCTTTACATAGCTATATCATCCGGGAATTAAGAATCAAGTCTTTCATACTTGTACCTTTAATCAATTTGACATGCTCGACAATTGAACTGCCAGGATATCCCAATAAGAATCAACACCTTAATTACGAATGAATACACCTAATCCTACAAATTTTAGACCAGAACTACAGACGAAAGATAAGCCATACCAACAGATCCACATTCACCGGCTATAATAATATAAATCCCGGCAGTGAATCAAGGACCCCCTATACCAAAGACCAAACCCCATCAAAGAAAACGAAGCCAACCCGTAGAAAATGATATTAAGTAGAAATTGAAGCCCAAGTTTTTAACAATAATTAAACCATCTCTAACACCCAATAAAGGGGGGAGGAAGAATCAATATGTACAAAGTAGGCAAGAGAAAACAAATTACACAGGCCGTCACCGCCGAGACCGAACATACACTGGAATGAGTGTCTATATGGAAACAAAACGAGACCTTTTCAACCGTTATACGCCCGACGGATCGCTAGACTAAAATCATGCAATCCAGCAAATGACAGATAGCCGAAACCCGAGGAAAGGAAAATGGGAATCTATGAGCACAGGAAAAAGCAGAGAGGGTGAAAGAATGCACTGAAGTTTGCTTTATCGCGGGAGAACGGCCGACCCAGAACTAGAAAACAAAACATATCAAAAAGCAAATCAACGACAGGATCATAATACATCGTTGTGAGGTGGGCAGTCTTAATAATAAATACTGTTAACGTATCAGAGGTATTATTAGAGTGTTAACCGGGTATCCGGTCAACTTTCGTTTCGAGATGCGGACCGGCTGTGAGCGGACCGGCTGTGAACAGATGTTGACCTTATGCTGCGGCTAGACGGAGCCCGTGCAGGAGGAGCGTGCTCAAAGTAAGGTAGGAGGTCTGGATTCTGGCTTGGAGGCGTCTTCGACGATGAAAGATAGTCGCCCACGATCCGATCGTCTGCTGCTGTCTTGGGGTGAATTTCAATACCTTGTTGGTTTTCCAAGCCCCCATGTGGAGTGGAATCAAACTTGAGTTGCTCTCCGTCTGCTGGCGCTCTTTCAATAGGCGACCAGCCTGCAATACTTCCAGCAACTATACCCGCCATGGCTGTAGCAGGTCCAAATGCCGAGTTCGAGCGAGACCGAGCTCGTCTTCTTGACCGGGACTCCGGAGTAGGGGGCTGAGATGGAGTACTGCTGCGTTCATTGACGGGTGTTCCAGGGACCGAGTTCTCTCTTGACCGTGATGACCTTGAGCCGCTCCGTGATCTTGGAAGGAACTCTTCAGGGTGCTGTAATTTGTGCTTCAGGTGTCTCAACCGACCTCCACGGACCCTCTTGAGAAATTTGAGCTGATCCCGAATCTCAGTCAGAGCAGGGTTCCACTCGAAGCGATCCTCGTCGGAAACGAAAAGCTCGGGGGCCTTTTTGCGGCTGAAAAAGGTCGGGATGAGTTTCTCAATGAATGCATCTGGGATCAGCCGAATGATGACTGCAATTGGAAGAGAGATCACGCCGATGATCAAACAGACTCCCCATTGCGCACCGTTTATTCTGGTGACAGAGAATGCATGGCCACCAACGAAAACGATCAAGACCTGTCCACCCATGATGATGAACTGGATTCCAATGAACCACCAATTGCGGAGCATGCCTTCAAAAATATTGAATCTATTGTCCAGGCGACGAGAGTTCCACTGGTTGAATATCTGCATCCAAACAAAGGCATTGAATACAACTGTAGAAAGTATATCGCCTTCGTAACCGAAGTGGCCTCCTGCAAAGTTCAAGACAAGCGTGACGGCCATTTGATAAATACTTTGACCGATAATCATTTTCCACATTGTGAGGGTGATGAGTGGAGCGGATTTGGGCTCGGGTCTGCGGTCCAGAACATGTGCAGATGGGGGATCAGTGGCTAGAGCAAGCGCTGCGAAAGTGTCCATGATAAGGTTGACCCATAGAAGCTGTACCGCCGTAAGAACCGATTCTTCGGTGTCACTAGCCACGGCTGAGATGAATGTTAGGAGAACCGCAGTGATATTGACTGTAATTTGGAACTGCAGAAACTTCTTGACCGCGTCGTTCACAGTCCTACCCCAGGCCATAGCCTTGATGATTGAGGTAAAATTATCGTCCATCAGGATGATATCTGACGCCTCCTTTGCCACTTCGGTGCCAGCAATTCCCATAGAAAATCCAACATCTGCTGTCTTGAGAGCCTGGGCATCATTTGTTCCGTCACCGGTAACCGCAACCGTCTCTCCTAGCTTCTTCAGATGAGTAACCAGGATTTTCTTGTCATCCGGGCTAGATCTTGCCAAAACCTGCAGTCGAGGGATAATCTGGTGGATCTGAGCGGAGCTAAGCTGGCGAAATTTGGGTCCTTCAATTGCAATTCCTCCAGGCGTAAAGATACCGCACTCTCCAGCAATAGCCTTGGCCGTATTAATATTATCTCCGGTCACCATTCGGACAAAAACACCAGCTTTCTGGCATTGTTGGACAGATTCTGTTACACCAGCTCGAAGGGGATCCTGGATGCCGAAAACAGCGAACATGGTCATATCCTTGAATACGGCGTCAAAATCTGCGAGACTCCGATCTTTTTCCTGCTTGCGTACCCCTTCGGGCGGCCATTGACTAAAATCGCGGTACACTAAGCTAATAGCTCTCAAGGACTTAGCTGCATATCGATCTATCGTCGCATTCAAGGCTTTCTTATCGTCATCGGAAATCGGGTGGCTAGACAAATCCTTTGTTGGGTCGGAAATGATACGCGTAGATTTCGCAGCCAGAATCTCCGCTGCACCTTTGACAAACATCCGGTACTTTCCAGATCCCATTTTGATAACCACGGCCATACATTTACGACCGGAATCAAATGGCACCATCTGAGCGATTTCTGCGTTGGCCCGTGCCTCACTAAGCGAACCGAGAGCGAGATAAGTTCTTGCGAAACCCAGAAGCGCTGTTTCGGTCTTTGAACCAATAAACGTCATAACCCCCTCCTGCTCCCCTTCAAATGCTGTGGAGTTCAGCACGATCGAGTCGAGTAAAAGCTGCTTGACTGGAGCAGGAAGACTTTTGGCAAACTCGGATGGTGACAGCGCATTTGAAACTTCGTGTGCGTCGCCATTCTCATCCGTTCCATTAGAAGAAGCACCGGCATCCTTGACGAATCTAAAAGTCGTTCCCATGGTGGCAGCAACAGCAGTCATTTTGTTTTCCGTCAAGGTGCCAGTCTTGTCGGAACAAATCGTTGTCGCGTTCCCCATAGTCTCACAAGCCCGGAGCAGCCGCACCAGGTTATTGTCCTTGAGCATGCGTGTTGTGGCGAAGGCGAGTGCTAGTGTGACAGCCAGAGGCAAGCCTTCAGGAACAGCAACCACGATGACTGTCACAGCAACAATGAAAATTCTAAGGAACGCTTGACCTTTCTCATCAGCACCGTCAATGGTTTTCAGCTGAGCAAGGAATTTGATAAACAGCACAACAAACAACAATAATCCGGCGGCAAGACCGAGTTTGGCAATATATTCAGCGAGGACGTTCAGCTTCGACTGTAGCGGTGTCGTCTGGCCCTCATCCTGGAGAGACACCATCGTTTTCCCGTATGTCGAATTGACTCCAACGGATGTGACAATGAATGTCCCCACGCCTTCGGACACTTTCGCGCCGGACACGATGAAAGGGTCTTGTTTCGAGAGGTTTTCATGTTGCTCAATAGCCCGGAAGACTTCATTGGCAGCAGTCTTGCGTAATACATCCGACTCGCCTGTCGCGGAGGACTCGTCACACTTGACATCGTGACCATTGATGAAAATACCGTCGACTGGGATTACATCACCGGGTTCGAGATGCATAACGTCGCCCACCAGGACGTCGTGAATTGGAATCTCCAATGTTTTCCCGGAACGAACCACTTTAACCTGTCGGTCATCCTTCTTTTTGTTCAGTTTCACAAATTGGCGTTCCTTCTGCCAGTCGTTCGCAGCACCCACTATCACCACGATGACAATAGCCACAATGATAGCGACACCTTCGACCCATTCCACTTTGGGTTCACCTTTCTTAGCTGTGACAGACTGGTAGATGCCGAGAGCGAGTGAGATAATAGCAGCAACCGTCAGAAGAATCAAGACCTTATCGTTATATGCTATCCAAGCCAACTCAAAGATACTCTTGGGCTTTCTTTCAGGGAGTTTGTTGCTGCCATAAACGCGTTTCCGGTCAGTGTAGCCATTGTCAGGGTGTTTCGCAGGCTCCGTGCCAGACCTCGTCGGTTGCCGCGGGGGCTGGGAAGGGGATCCTTGTGTTGATTCCTCCGAGGCGATCGATGTTGCATCCTCAAAGCTCACGGTTCCATCCAACGCGGTCTCATCCATACTCAACCCACTATTGATGTCGGTTCGTAACCCCTTCTCTAGTCCACGAAGGCCACCTAGAGCATGGAATGCGCCGAGATTTTTGGGGTTTAAGAGCTTATTTAGTTGACCCGGTGAGAAGGCAAACTTGTTATTTTCCACCGTAAACTCATCTTCGCGGCCCGGATCTGGCTTAAGGGCATCCTCATCATTTATAACCATGTTCTTCGTCAGATCTGCACGAGATCCATGAGATGCCGTTGGTACATAAGTATCACCTCCATATGTACTAGACGATTGATGCGTGTCCTCCGACTCCAATGAGTTCCCGCGGGATCTAGTGCCAGGCACAGCCAGGTAATTCGAATGGGACACGGAGTCGTTCATCTTGTGCGTAGGAGATGAGACGTTATGCGGGGAGGTTGGTCGACTCTCGTGATCCCGTGGATCAGAAGCGAAAGAGCGTATTGAGCCACCCGAAGGCCCATCCAAAGGCGAAACACTGCCGCTGTTCAAGAGAGCGCTCGTATCATTGGAATAGGCATTTTCACTGGAGACTTGTAACGTGGGATGCGCCGCAGTCGGTGAGAGTTCTTCGTTAAGGTCTGTATTAATTTTGATTTCGGGGGCCTGCGGTCGTTGCAAAGGCTGCGACTGCTTCGAATCGTTTGCGTTCGATCTGGAATCCGACATGATCGTCTAAGGGGTTTAACGGCCCAGGTAAGAGTGGGTCTCAAGGGCGACAAGAGTTTCAGACGAAAGGGATATTGGTATGAATAAGAATGCGGCTCCTGAAGGAGCAATTAATCGGACCCCGTTGTATCATCAAAGCAAGGCTTGTGTTCGTGAAGAGGTAGGGGTTTCTGCAGTGATACCGCAACCGTTTAAGCTTCCCAATAGATATTGAATCCTAGCAGTTGTTCAATATAACCCATGTGGCTTATGCTGAGACACAAAAATTTACCGGTCCTCCTTCCTTGTGAATCTAAATGCGAAGAATGCGCGACAACGATCAGGAGCGGTAGCGATCGACATCCAAAATATAGAGGAAACGGGCAGAGGATTCTGTGGCATAACAATTCACTTGAGGAATGTCGAGATATCAAACGATGGGAAACAGTCACCGGAAGTATCCACGGTTATGTATAGGATGGGGAGATCCGCAAAAAGTGACCATCTATGAAGCGCATAAAGATGCTAAATGAAAACAAAGGACAGGCGAAATCCGCACTCAGTGCCTTCGACTCTAGAGTATGAGGCTTTCAATCACACACACACAAAGGTCAGCCATACAAGCAAACCAGAAACAGTCCAGTTACGGACAGGAGTCAACAGAGACACAAAGCGCCAATATACGAACGGTATATTCCTCCAGTCGCCCTGACGTGGGACCAATGAATTTAGGGGAGATAGCGCTAGAAAAAGGGAGCTATCCGGGGTCAGAGGAAGGAAAAGGTGAGAGAGTACGGTGAGGTGGTGAGGTTCAGGTACACCGGGGTCAGTAGGTCGACTGGAGATAATCGTAGCTGCTTGCAATACTACTAGTTGGGTTCAATGCGCTAAACCACGGATCAGAGATGGAAGTTAGCGTCACAGCCATTACAATACCAGCACCCATATTTTTTTTCTATATGCAAAACCCCACTGAGAGAAGTCTCCTCCTAGTCGCCAATTCAGCCAATCATCGCCGAGTATCTGGAAGCATTACGGTAAGAAGGCCGTCACTACTGCGGCCGTCAGCTCCACCGGCGATCCGCAGAAGGTCGAGAATCTCCTGTACGGTAAACCCCCGTACACGAATTAAGTAATAGATGCCGTTTGCAGAACCTCTCTTTTCCCAAGTTGGACGGATGACATCGCTTCCCTGCTTACTAGATCTGGACTTAGTCGCGTTTTCCCCTGGTATTGAAAGTTTGCCTTTTGAACATCTTCTTCAATAACTTTTCCTGAAAAGGGAGGATGAACTACAAATGACCATAAAAAGAGAAAAAAAAAAAAAAGAGAGAGAGAAAGAAAAAACAAGGATCGCTCCAATGATGGGTCCATGGCTTGCCACCGAAACACAATGCTTGGGATTTGCTTCACTTGCTAATAGACCTTGTCCTGCAAGTTTAATGCTGGAACATCACTCGTCGGCTTCCATTGCACTGCCTCACTGCATTTCCCCGTCCGTCATCGATTTATTTTTTTATTTTTTTCAACACACTGACCTCCTCCCTTTTTTCTTGTTCCTCTCCTTTTCAAAAAAAAAAAAAAGTAATAATAATAATAATAATAATTAAAATAATTAAAAAATTTTCCCATATTAATTTTCCCACCATTCCTAACCCAATAACCTAAAAGAACATTGCGATGTTGCTCCCGTGACAATGTAACCACTTTTTGTTGATATACATCGTTTTCGGACTCATATCTGTGCAAGTTATCCTCAGACCACAAGAGGGAAAAGGCAAAAGCTCCGTCAACATTCTTTCTGGGGCCTATTTATATGACCTATACACTTATTCAGAATATTTCCTGCATGACCAGCAGCGATATGACCTACGATACGATATCTTTTCCACAGTAGTATTTGAGATTCCGATCCTCCGTCAAAGGATTCTACCGTCTATAAAATTGTTTGACGCCGAAAAGGGGGCCCACTTGATGATATTACACGACAACCACCTCCAAAAGGGGGAGGCGAGTCATACAATTCAATATAGATAGATGGATTCCCTGCCACTAATGCACACTGTAGTGTTGTTTGATCCGGAACTTTAATCCTTTAGAAACCCCAAAGTATTGACCCTCGAATGATGATGTGGTTGGTAAGAGTCGTCCTTCCTTACTAGTATACTCCAGCATCGTTGATGGGACTATTTACCCCATACGTACAGGCGACAATGAGGCCCGCAACGGACACTTGGGAGACAAAAAAGAGAATTTTTCAAACCTGCTGCCAGCCTGCCAATTATTTTCATTTTATTTTTTTTTTTTTAAAAAAAAAAAATATTTTCCCACATGAACCAATCCCATCATGTCCGTTGCACCGTTCAAACTCCTTGATGGGGGTTCGTTTCATTGCCGCGGACGAATAATGAACTCCGAGGCTTGGCAAATGGGCGGTGCAAAGGAAAGGGACCCATAACACGTCTCCAACAGTCTAGCCCTTGGGATTTTCCCTATTCTTTGATGACCTGTTTTCCTCATCATTTTTGAGCGTTCGATCCAATCGCTGGGGCGCTTTTTACTGGTTCGCTTGGCCGGTTGCATTACTCGTTCTTCAGGTCTAGCCTCACTGATTGATCAAAGTCTAGATACATGGAGTACTAACGTATACATGTACATACTGTACCCCGTACAATCTTTATACTGTGTACAGAGTACGAAGTAGTTAAAACACGAAGCGAGACATGGGTACGGGAACCAAGTCCGAGGTGCCATGCTGTCTCTTGGTAGTATGATATGTGGCAGTTACACCAATGTCAATGGTCTGATAAGACAAAGGAATGAAGCGTGGTCCAATGTAATGCAGTGATCTCTCTTGAATAGCACAAGACTGCGTCATTTGTAACCACGCGGAGATGACAGGGGGTAAAGTAAGTAAGCACGACTATACAGAGGCGGCTGCTATATCAGTGATCGTGCATGTTGTTTTACCATCTCGTAGCTAGCTTAACCACTTAGACCTGTCTTGGTTAAACCGAGGCTTCACTATCGATTCTGGAAAGACTACTGCAGTCACTAGTTCAACATGTATGACGCGAGCATAGGCCGTACTTCGGCTTACCCACCGCAGACATTCAACATGTGTTATGGATGCACGTATGTTGTTGAATCTCTTTCATGGTTGAGCATGTGGGACTATCCGGTTTTCTTTCCATCCATAATTGCTCTGTGCCATGTATGTACGTACGTAGTTTGTACATAGTAACCCGACATGCCCTCATCACTCATGGATGGCCATATCGAGATTATCGATCTCGCTCACCATGCATATAATAAGCATACCCTAAACATCACCCCCTGCTTATCTATCCTCGCAAATAAAAATAATATAGGGAAAAGAATTTCCCACACTCAAGAAGATGGAAAGCCACAGGCAAGGATAATTTATTCTTCTGCCAAACAACAACTTGTACAGTGTCTACAAGGACCCACTTCTTAACACGTACCTCTATAAGTGTACTAATCTCCAGAGGAACGAACACAGCCTCCAAACTGCTTATCACAATAGAGTACGGTAAATGGACTTCCACCTTCCTCTTTAGTACCTACTAATGCTATCCATGTATCTCTGTTTGTACCCCGAGCGCATCTTGATTAATACCTCATACAACGCCAGAGACCCAACATTCCACACTTTCAACCTCAACCCTAAAGAATCCAACCTATGACAGCAGGAATGGCGGTCTGGGGGGGGATTGGTTTAGTTGTGAGAGGGGTCCTTCGTAGAGTTCGCCAACTCACTCCATTATCTGCACGTCAACTGGTCACGATACCCCTTGGACTTGGTCGATATGTCTCATGGAAGCGATTCGGGAAGAGACAGACGGTGTCCTGTCTAACATCCTTTTACTGAGCAATCGTCTATCAAGATGCCTCCGTTGACTCGAACAAAGAGCGAACGCGTTAATGTCCATCGTCTAGCGGTAATCTAGACTGAAACATTTGATTCAATTCATTAGCTACTTCAGGGCCCTCCATTCGTATTCTCCTAAATCGGCCGTAATCGTATTGCTCGCTCGATGGAGAAATACAAGCACTGCCCTCTTCGACGGAGCTTTACAATGCAATGATGTACACAGCACACATCATTGTCCTACTCGATGGGGCCTTCCAATTTCTTGACAGCCTAGTCTGTCGGATAAAATTTTTCTGTGAAGCAAGGCTTTAGTATGAAATGTGGTTATTGGGTATCCAGACCCATGACGGCTAGTCTGTAGGTTTGGTATTAGAGTTTGGGTTTTTTTTTACTCGGGATTCGGGAAGCAAGCTTCTAGTCTATATATTCAATAGTTTGCGGACTGCGCCACGATGGCGACGGGGTTGATGGCGTGGATACTGGAGACTTTACCTTATTTATTGAGCTTTATTGGCCCCCGGTTTAAGGTGAAGTATTCAAATCAGGTCAGCTATGTGTAAAAAGCATGATTGCGCAAGAGTGAGCAAGGAGTAAGGATTTCACAAGATCCTATACCAATTATTAACTAGAGCAAAATATCCATGAAAATGCCATGCCAATTCTTGATGTGATATTGTAATCGAGCCAAACCCCTGACAAAAAGCGCCCGAATAATAAAACACTCCCTCTTAAATCCAGTCCAGATGCGATGGTTTGGCCAGAACCCTCCTACCAAAGATGGGAGAACATAAATAAGAAAAGAGGGTAATATACACCAGCTCGTTCATAAGATATGTAAGTACATGTGCATTTCATTGCGTCTCAGGGAGGACATTGTCCTCATCGGGCACGTCGACATTCCAGATACCCAAAGACTCGCCTCCCAAAAGTTTCTTGCCGGGCTTAGCCTGCGTGTTGATCATGGCTTTGCTAGACAAGGCCAACGCGTCCACGAGCTCCGCCATCCGACGAGACGCCACAAAGGCGCTAGTCAGATACTCGTTTTCGGACACCTGGATTGCCAGGTTCATGCACTGCACCAGAAGCTCGCTGGTAAGCACATGTCCGGCATAGTACAGCGCATTATGATAGTCGAGGAAAAGTTCCGGGATATAGGTCTTTCGGATTTCTTCCAGCTCGGCTTGTTCAGTTTCTATGTGGACCATTGGTGTCAGCATACGTCTCCTCATTTGTTCCAAAGATGCCTTACCGTCCTCAGCACCCATGAGCCACTCATCTAGAAGTGCGTCAACGTGCACAGAAACTTCGTCTAAAGACTCCTGAAGCTCGTCCTTTAGGTTTTTGATCGTGCCAGAATCGCGTCTGCGTTTATTCCTGTATATCGTTAGTTGGTGTGGATTCTTCCCGACAAATTACCCATATCAGGTGGCCAGGTTACTTACTTGTCCAGCTTCTCGCAAACCACAGCAAACCACTCTAGTGCATTAAACGCCAGAACAAGCTCTTCCAAGTCACGCATAGTTTGCGATTGTTGGACTAAGAGGCTTGTTTGCTCGTCGGAGGGCAGTCTATTCGTTAAGGATCGGTTGCGCTTATGAGGAGAGCCGAACAGCCTCGACTTAGTCGGACTGGCGGGCTCTGGAGTCGACACTTCTACCTCATCCTCAACGCCAAAGGGGAATTCTGTCACGTCAAACCCAAATGACTCCCGTGAGATATCCGACAGCCTCATGCGTCTACTCAACTCTCGAGCAGCAGCAAGTCTACCAGTAACTGTAAAATTGTATAAGTCAATACCTTGTCCAAGGTAGTTGGAGGCATAGAGACATACCATAGAATTTCCTGTACAACAAGGCACCCAGTTGACAGATCCTCCCCCATTGTCCATCAACATAGCGAAGCCATTCCAAACTTCGAATGACGCGTTCTTCCGTACCAGATACATCGGTTCCAATGTAATCCTTCTTGATTGGTACTACCTCAGGCAGGCCATCCTTGCGACGGACAACCTTGGGGTACCGCTTAAGCGTACTTGAATGCTCAACTGAGGAAACACTAGCGCTAACCCACTGCCACTGATCACGCAACACAGCTTCAACATCGATACCATGATTCTCCATGAGCCTCACTTGTTGTCGTCTCTCCCGCGGGTCGACTACCTCAATCAGGATCTGGCCAAGCACAGAGTGTGCCTGGTATGTTGGTAGAAGCGACGCATAAAGAGGGATGATTTCGTAAATCCGGGCCTCCTCCAAGTTGGCAATATATCCAATGACATTGATAGATGCATTAGTCGAGAACTGCGTATCTGAGCGCACATAGCCTAGCGAGTTCGCAATAATGTAGAGATGAGTCGCGATCCTCAAGGCATCGCCGTCCTCAGCCGCAATCAGTAGAGAGTCGTCCACCGTAGCTGGCGGAAGGTCTGGCACGAAGGACAGATCTCCCTTGCTCGCCGCCGCTTGTGATACCGCTTTCGCCAAGGAGTGGAAAAACGAGTCGTACCCTTTACTCAGGATAGCCGCCTGGATAGTCCTATACGGGTTGCGTGCCTCGACCCCGACGCGTTCGTTACCCTTAGTGTACAGCACGAACTTATTCACATCGGCATACCCAACAGGCTCGGGAACAAATGCAACGGGAACAGTAGGCGAATGATTAAGTTTCCGTTGAAACTGCTTGCAGAAGCCTTGGTAGCGGGAGAGCACAACACTGTTGAAATAAACGTAAAGGTAGTCATCCCAGCTTTGACAAACCTTGAAGGCAGCTTCTGTCTCGCCACAAAGCAATGCATAGACGGCCCGCTCGAAATCCTCGGTTCCTTGGCTACGCGCCAAAGCAGAGCAAGCATTTCGCCAGGTAGTTTGTGACCGCCAATTCATCATGCGCGTAGTTCCATCGTCAACAGGCGTCCGTTCCCCGCGAGAAGAGTTTGCATCCACGCTCGAGCCACACAAGCTAACTGCTCGCCAATTCTCCAGGCAAGATTCTGCCCATTCCCGAATCTTTGTCCAGCTTTCGCCCTGTCTCAACATCTTCCAGCAAGTCATCCAAGTCGCCCGCTCATGGAACTGATCCTGTTTTTGAAGCTTCTGTTTTTGTCGAGTGACCGCATCAGGATCCAATTGGGTAATCATTGACTCTGACTTCTCCGAGACTAAGAGCGAGGCCGTGACAGCTGGATCGTTAGGCTCGAGAGGTTGAGGCCAAGCTCGCAGTCGCTTTTGGCCTTTGATAGTCTCCTTGGTATAGAGCCAGCCGTGGGTCCACATCCCTTGACCCCTTTCAGCCTGTGCTTCCAACTCTGAGATTATCGAGTCAATGTCCTGACTTGCTGATTTTGAAGTGTGCTCCAGCCATTTCATGATGATCACGCATTCAAGAGCATAGTGATCAGCACCCACGAACTGTTCCCAAATTTCGCGATCGGTCGAGTAGCGGTGAAGATTCTGGAAGGCATTCTCTTGAGCTTGTTTGGCACTAGCCCTGCTTGGGGGATCGTTAATGCTGATTAAATTAAGAAGCAGCTGCCAGGTGTTCGCTTCTAGCTGTAATCTTTGAAGGTCCTCCTGTGTCTTGGGATCCTGCGCCGCTGTTCCATTGGTCCGGCTGGTATTCCACCCCATCTTCGCGCGCCTTAGGGTGTTTTGCTTAGAGATATCCTCGATAGAATCATTTGCAAGAGTTTGATAGCTCTTCACCAATTGGTAGGCAGCTTGGTAATTCTCGAATTCGCTATCACGGTTCTCTTTTTGTTTGAAACGGTCGAGCTTTTCTGCGAACGCCTCGATCTGGCGCGTGACCCGGTCCGCGGTCCGGCGAAGAGGATGCAATGCCTGCTGCGCGCCAGCAGATGTGAAGAGTTCCGGTGTTGTCATGTCGAACGCTTCTGAAGACCGTCAGCCTTTCACCGGAGCCAGTATCGCTAAGGGATCAACCGTACTGTGACCATTTTGGAAGGGACCAAGGTCTGGCGGCGACTCACTGCCGCCGTTTATTCCGTTCGTCTCCTCAACCGAGTTATCCTCCTCATCCTCGTACTCTTCTATCTCTTCTTCCTCCATATCCTCACCATCTTGTTCATTAGCGTCAATGTCTTCTTCGTCATCCATTGGTTCGTCATCATCGTCGTCTATCTCGATGATCTCCGGATCATTCGACGTCGACCCCCGGGCAGCCTGGGAAAGAAATTAGTTGGCGCACCGCCAAAAGAAGTAGTCGCCAAAACAATTAGACTCACATTTACAGACGTAAAGCCAGCGGACCCCGCGGGCTTTATCAAAGGAGCCATGGCGCGTAAGAATGACCACTGTCGCTATTCTCAGCAACGGTTTGCAAGGTGGCTCCGCTTGATGAGAATCTGTAGCTTTAAACAGGGTTTGGGGGGAGAACTTCTGTTCTGCTCGAATGCTGAACGGGCGTGTTTTGGGGCCGACCGCCCGCTAAATCCGATATAGTTTAGCGCCGTCGGCCAGCACACGCATTTAAAAATCCTCAACATTTTTTCCTCGTCCTTCTTTTTTTCTTTTTCTTCATCAAATGTCAATTAGGCAATCATTAGAGTCTCGGAACGAGCGCTTCAATCTTCGTTCAGGTCAATCGGCCTCTTTGCGTGCTCAAGATTGTCTTAGAGGAATTATGGCAATTCTTACAACTAGTCTAGAACCTCCTGACGCATGAGGGCTGAGACTGCAAAGGGGTTGTCACATCGCTTCGTAAATTTTCAATTCTATTCCTCTCTGGAGTACTCTAATGCTGGCCCAGGCTTAACAGCTCGTAGTTTATATATATGGACAGCAGTATGAACAGGTCTTGTTGCATTGCAACGGACAAGAAGTATCTATGCAAGATAAAAAGAGAGCGAGAGTCTCAGTTGCCTTGACCACGTTGTTTCATCCTCAGCTTGAGTAGACTGGGCTTAGGGCAACTGGGCGTCTTTGCATCCTCCCCTTGAGCTTGGTAGAAGGCGTTACAGCATTCATACAGAGCATTTATCTGGGATTGGCACTTTTCTTCCTGGTATGAGTTCTTCGTTAAACAGCCTGCGTTAGTTAGTAATGAGCACTATGAACTATATATATCCAAGGTGGTTGGTGTTTGCTGTACTTTGAATGGCGCACTTGGCCTATCAGTAAAGAGTTCACCATGAATGGCTGAAGGAGGTTGCTAGACTTACTGCCCGTGGATGACATGGGGGGTCGTATGCCAGATCCTCTTTTAGGCCTCCCTAGACCATTGTCATTCCTGGTCCAAGTGGAATATCATATCGTCTTCTTGAGTTCTCTTACCATGACGCAATAGTACCCAGGTATATAACCAGCAATATCAGAAACAAAGGCGAAAGAAAAGTAAGTTGATGGTTAAGCCAATTACATATATCGCTATGCAATTATAAGAATCTTTCAAAGGAAAAACAACACATGAACCCCCCAAGGATAATGAAATGTGAATTGCCAGAGATTCACTCAACAGAGCAAACAAGCCATATAGTACTTAAAAGACCGGAAACAGGACTTGCGCCGCAAAATAGATTATCCGTGAGTATTCATTGCCGGTTGGTGGGGGTCGCCTTCCCATCGCCGCCAGCCCATTGATATCTATCCATTCGCTTCTTCATCTCCTTCTCTCCTCTCCTCAGCTGAACCCTTTCCGTCGTCTGGTGTCTTCTCATCATCGCCGAGACCTTGATTACACCTACGTAAGTTCTTATTTAATACCTGTCAATTCTCACTTTCCTCCCACCTGTTGCGACGAAACTACCGCACCAGAGCTGACCATTCCACTTAAAACACAGCAATACGCCACCTACTTGACGCTCATCGCAAATACTTTTCGTCCTCACAGTTTCAAAATGGCCGACGCCGGACTCCCTACTGGAGATGCTCCTGCTCCCGTTGAGCACCTCAACATTAAAGTGACCGATAACAACAATGAAGTATTCTTCAAGATTAAGCGTTCGACGCAGCTCAAGAAGTTGATGGACGCGTTCTGTGAGCGTCAAGGGAAGCAGTTCTCTACTGTCCGTTTCTTGTTCGACGGAACTCGTGTACGCCCGGAAGACACGCCAGACACGGTATGTTTACCTCACCTCTACACCTTGCGCATTCAGATCACTTGGCTAACAGTTGCTTTTTACCGCGCTTTAGCTGGAGATGGCCGACGGCGATACTTTGGAAGTTCACCAGGAGCAGATCGGTGGTTAGGAGGCCCGCCAGATCGTTTGGTTTCACTTCTTGCCACTTCATTATTTTCGTTCATCCGTCGCATTTTTTGAGACACATAGGCGCAATGGTGTTAGCGTTGGCCCGGTCGGGCTTTAGCTGGGACGGGGTCGCCTACGGGCTTGATTTAAGCTTAGAAAAGCTTAGACAACGAGCGAACTAAATCATGCTGGGCTGTGGATAGGTTATTAAAGTATTACGAATTAACTACTTACGACATAGTATTCTCCCTGGGGTTAAGCAGGCAAATTCTGGTCGTCATATCTGAGCCCTACTAGTAGTGTTATTGTCTTTGCCGTTTGTCTAATCCCGATCAGACTGAGAAATTTCACACAAAGAACACCAAGTGAAACAAGACGGCTCCTTACACCCGTGTACTACACCTCAATATAATACACCTGCGAATGATCCAACCAAAAATTCCCATATAAGAGACAAGCGATTACCCAACACTATACACCACCCTCAAAAAAAGAACCATATTAGAAAAAGCTAGCCTCAAGTAGTCAAATATATAGACGGCGAATATGAAAAGGGAATGTCCTAATCATCCCAAACAGCAGTCTTTGCCCGTTCTTCCTCCTCCTTAGCTTTAGCTGCCGCCTCCCGCTCCTGATTCCGCCGCTTTATCTCCTTCTCTTTAACAGCACGGTCATACGCACGCTGCTCCTCCGTCCGTTTCGGGGCCCGAAGCCCCAAAGCACCTGCAATCATTCTCCCCGCAACAGCAGTCTGCTTCTCCGGCCTCCGGGATGGGGACCTGGAATCCGACGTCCGAGACGACACGCCGCCAACATCAGGATACACCGGCACAGAGCTCCAGGTTTGGGAGGTCTGGGGGGAAATCGGAGTCGGCGGGGGATCTAAGGGACCCTCTGCGGTGGTGACGGATGGCGACAGCGATGAGCTAGCACATCCTGGGGAGTCAATGTCCGGTTCCGACTCGTCCGCCTCATCTTCCCATGAATCAGCGACAACAGGGGCCTTCTTCTTGGAAGTTGCTGCCTTGGTCGTTGCAGTTTTCACCGCTGGGCGGGCAATGTCCTTCACGGGACTATTGTTACTGAGGGAGAGTTCGCGGAGGGATGATTGGAGCTCCGTGGTGGTGGCTTCTGAAATAGACATTAAGGGCGGTTTGTCAGTGAGGTTGGAATGTATAATAATAATAATAGGTAGAAATATAAGTGTAAGAAGGGGTTAGGAGTGTGTAAAGTTGAGATAGGAGTTTCCAAAGAGCGGGCCAAGTATAACTCTTTGGACTGGAAGGGAAAGTTAAAAAGTAGCTGAGGCCACACAGGGTCAATGGTTGCGAGGGAAATCACGGACCCTTGGATTCTGGACCGGGCTTTGTTGCCATGTCAGTTGTTTCTCTTAATAGTCGGCCAGATGGTCGGAGTCGACAGCCGTTTCAAAAGATCCGCAATTGACGGGAAAGAGGATATTAATAGCATTGGAGGTGGAAATAATGAATGTCGTCAGTCGTGGAGAAGTTGAACCCCACCATTCCTCTCGGCCGCCGCCTTCCATTGGTCTGTGCCGGGGATGTCCAGAACAGTCGCTTTGTTCATGAAATTTACGGAGTAGGTCTTTTGGGGGAGGAACACCTGATGAGAGAACACCTGATGACGGGACGAATCCTTTACAATACCAACCTAACACAAGAGACTAATTATCTGCCAGCATGTCACTTATGATTCTATATTCTTCAATATATATATATTGATTTTTTTTTTCTCCTTGAGTTTTCCCATTGGTTATGCTGGAGAGAATTTCTATCTTTCTCTTGGTACATACTACCTCCAAATCAATTCCTGTTGACCAACCCTTGAAAGCTACATCAGTCGGTCCAAGTCATTGGGTGAGCCTATAACCATCCATATCCTGTAGCTACCGAGAATACCCCCGTTCATGATATCTGTCGTTGTCTCCTGAAGCTATATGTACAAGGTTTTTATGAGCAAATATGACTTCATTCTGAGGCAAATCTCATTATTGAAGGCTCCTGACCAATCGCAAGTCCTCCAATTTTACTTTTGCTTGTACATGAAAGTCACATGGACAAGATGATCGACAGTGTGCCTTGAAATCACCCTAGATTGACATAGTTCCAATCGCATGGGTCAACAAAGGGTATGAACAAAGAGAAGACTTAACTTAACATGGTAGGCGTCCATGCTTACACATAGTATTTTCATGCCGAACCACAGCTGTGGCCCGGGTACGCAATCCTGGATTGTGGGGAACAGAATCCATACCTAGCAACTATCATGGTGTGTCGGCAACTCGATACACCAATTTAAAGCCGCTCACATTCCCCTGCTGCACCAACCCCACACCGTTCAACACGCCTTGCAACCCTCCTTCACAGATTCTGATTGGATGGGGCTTCAACTTGTTTTCAGCGAGAAGTGTTTCCGTCAACCGGGTGAACATCTTCGCAAAATCAAAATCCTCAGCACTTGCCGGAAAATGTTTGCCGTACAAGTCGAATGGCTCGCCCCGAAACGTCATCATGATGCTCCGGGTACAGGCGACATCCTGTCGTGGGATATCATTGAGAAGAATCGTACCGTATCGACAACCTGGCTTTGTTGACAGAGCGGCCATGCAGGTTCGAACTCCTTCATCGGAGCCGATTGTATCCCAGATCAGCCGGAGCTCCCCTTTCGTGTAACGATGGATCTCCTCCCCACATGATGGATCGCTGTAGTCAAAGACTGCTTCAGCGCCGCGTGATTTGACCAGATCTACATTCCTAGGAGAACAAGTTGTAACGACAGAATAGCCGGCCCTATATATTTTATGAGAAATCCGCATACTCATCTCAAGTCAGCAGGACACGGGCTTACAGCTTTGCGTATTGGATAGCAAGGGTTCCCGCTGACGTACTACCACCATAAATCAAGATGTACTCTTTCTCTTCAATAGGCTTAAGTGGAAGATTCAGCCCCAGCTTCTGAAATAGGCCTTGACCACATGTAATCGCGCTGACGCCGATACCAGCCGCTTCTTCGAAACTCATGCCATCCGGCATTCTCATGCAGACATCCCCCTTTACAACGATAAACTCTGCGAATGACCCATCATCTAGATTCCGGCTATTAGCACCATGAGTACAGCCGCATACTCGGTCGCCTTTATTCCAACGCTTGGTGACAGCTGGGCCGATGTCTTCAACTATACCGGCGAAGTCGCAGCCAGCTAGACCGTTCTTGGCCCCCCTTCCCTGGCTGATTGCCTTGCAGTCAGTTGGATTCAGGGCAACGGTCACGGTTTTAATGAGCAGGTAGTCGTCACGGAGCTTAGGATTAGACCGTGAGCTCACCACTGTAGCGTTTGTGCCATTCAGAACAATGGCTTTCATTCTGAGAGTAGATGAGAATTGTACCTTTGCGCATTGAATAGTATGTTGAAACAGGCTATGGGTTTCGTTGCGTATAATAGCTACGGTTACTAAGTACTATTGATAGAATGCAATTAGTCATGTCATGCACTGAATCTTTGTATGCTTTGGTAATCTTGCGTTATTGGTTTGTAATCAGCGAATTTGCCCTCTAGCCTCATGTACCTGCACGAATTTAGTTGGTAACGTGGTAGATAAACCAATTATGATTGCTCATATTGATTTTAAGTACTGTCATGTGTGTCCAATCTTTCCATTCTACTCCACAGGCAAGCGACTCTTATTATTCAAAGCCGATAAGATTATAGGCTAAAGAGTCAAGACATGGGCTTACATCGCGGCGATTAAAAGACTGCGGTACAAGGAGCGAATATTGTCGGGAATACCTTGCATATAAGCAAAGAACATATTTTCGATGCATGCTGGTCTATCCATATACATGTCTTTCAACAGTGTTGTTATATATATCTTGGTCTAAAAATGGTTAGATTTCTGCAAACCAGTTTTGTCCACCTGGGGACACACACTCTATCAATGAGAATTAACCATAACTCCTATAGTAGAGTCATAACTCATAACTCATCATAACCATACCAACATTCAAAACACTCCCATAATTGATTCTATTCCTCACCGCCAAGAAACACAGAACAAGTTCCGAGTGACAACCTCAGTTCCGAGACGACCAATCACGCCCCACCGTGGGGCGCCCGCAAAACCTCGGAAACGATCGGTGAGGAGTCCGAGACCGGCGGACACCCTCTCCAGGTCCGAGGTATTGTTTCTCCTCTTCTAACGTAGCCCCCCTCCCCCCGGGCACTGCATTTTCTTCCCTGGATTGTATTGAAACTGGACACTGTCCTGTGGACATTTACAAAGTGTTAAATTCCGATAATACATCTCCATTACTGGCCATTATCAGGCGGATATCCCCAGGGTGGCTACTTAGGTACTCAGAACGTGTGTTCGGGTGCTTTATTGATACATCCATAATTAGTGTTCGAGACGCGGAATGACGAACTTGCGATCTCTCCCTGCGCGGGCGCGGAGGGTGCCCTTTTCATGGGGACCTGGGAGACAGACGAATGGTTTTTCTACCTCGTCGCGGAGTTACTCCTACGCTGATACGCTTCTGAACTTGAAGATCGGGACCCATACCAGAGTTCTGTTTCAAGGATTTACCGGTGAGATAATCTTTGTTTAATGAAGTCTCCGATAAAAAATACTAACATGGATCTACAGGCAGACAGGTACTGTAAAAATAACTGAACGAATAGTCAAACAGAATAACTAACCAATCAGGCCACTGCCAACGTAAAGGAGTCTTTGGCCTGGGGAACCAAGATCGTCGGAGGCGTAAAACCAGGAGTTGAAGGCGAACACCTCGGACTTCCTGTATTCCCTTCCGTGAAAGTGGTACGATTTCCCCATCCTAACTGCATAGATCAAATGCTCATAATCGAAATAGGCCCAAGAACAAGCGAAACCAGATGCATCCGCTATCTACGTACCGGGGAACCAGACGGCAAAGGCAATTGAAGAAGCCATTGAAGCTGAGATCCCTCTCGTTGTGGCTGTGGCGGAGCATGTGCCTATTCATGACATTCTCAGAGTACGGTCTCTATTCTATAATGAATGCATACTGGCCCATGCTTATATTATCCACAGATCCACTCCATGCTCCAGACACAGTCTAAAACGAGGCTAGTCGGGGCAAACTGCCCCGGTATCATCTCTGCAATTGGGAAGTGTCGGATTGGATTCCAGCCGTTGCCATGCTTTTCCCCGGGTAAGATCGGTATCGTTGCAAAATCGGGAACTTTGAGCTATGAGACTGTTGCGTCGACTACACGAGCAGGTCTGGGGCAAAGCCTCTGTATCAGTATGGGTGGTGACGTCTTGGCTGGGACTAACTTCGTTGATGCCCTGAAGATTTTCGAGAATGACCCTGATACAGAGGGTATCATCCTCGTGGGCGAAATTGGTGGAACGGCGGAGATTGATGCAGCAGAATGGATCAAAGATTACAACAGAAGAACCACGAATCCCAAGTATGTGCCTTGTACCTCGATCTATTAATTTCTCTGATGCTGACTGGGGGCCAAGGCCAATCATGGCCCTAGTTGGTGGCTTGCACGCTCCTCCCGGACGAATCATGGGCCATGCAGGTGCATGGACTGCTATTGGGGAACCGGATGCAGACGCGAAGTACCAAGCCCTCGAGCGCGCCGGCGCCGTCATGGTTAACCACCCGGAGAAGTTCGGAGAAGGAATGAAGACTCTACTGAATAGTCGACCAAGGGTTCAGAACACTACTGTAATTCCCCAAAATATCCTGTATAAAACAAGACACTAACAATATCCCAGTCTGCCAGCACCCCAAACCAGAAAAGAAGCCTACACACAATGAGACGTGTATCCCTACAAAAGAGCCAAAGAGCGCCTGCATCGAACCAGACCCGATCCCTCTTCATAAAGCAGTTTCAGGCCCTGGAAATGTTAAAAGAAAAGTCCATTTCAGTTAACGAAACGGAGCCTTCAGAATACGACATTTTTCTAAATCTTACGGTTGATAGAACCGCATTATCACCCTGCGTTATAGCTTCAACAGTTGCCGATTTCGCGCCGTCGCACACTGTCAAATGTCCTTTCCCCTACTCTAACACAGACTTCAGCAGTGGCAAATCACCAATCATCAAACCCATCGCCTCTCATCTTCAACTCCCCGAAGCCACACACGAGAAACTAGCAGAACTAATCCAAGCACTGTGGCAAATATTCAAGGAAAAAGAAGCCTATCTATTAGAAGTCCGGGCAAACCCATCTACGGAAGGACTAGAAGTCCGAGGCGCACGTTTCGGCTTCGACGACGCCGCATTTCGAAGCTCAGGACGCCAGAAGGAAGTCCACAGCCTGCGGAATCTGGCAGAAGAAGTGCATGAAGAAGTCGAAGCAGAGAAAGACGGCATAGTCTACGTGAAGTATGTTTGTAGTCCCAACAACCCCACGGCCAGAATATGAAACTGACACACCACAGATTACAGGGAGAAGGCAGCATCGGAACTCTAGGTAATATCATTCTACGAATCCAAATAAAAGTGGCCGAACTAACACAAACAGTAAACGGTGCCGGACTCGCAATGAACACGGTTGATGCACTCACCATTCATGGCGGCCATTGTGTCAATTTCCTGGATACAGGGGGCAAGGCAACGTCTGAAACGGTCAAGTCGTCGTTCCGGATTATCACCTCAGACCCGCGGGTGAAGGCTATTTTTGTCAATATCTTTGGGGGGCTGACGCGGTGTGATATGATTGCCGAGGGCATTATTATGGCCTTTAGGGATTTGGATATGAGTGTTCCGGTGGTGGTGCGATTGAGGGGGACGAATGAGGAAGAGGGACAAAAAATGGTGAGTGCATGCCGTGATAGATGAGTGGGATTGGCACTAACTGTAGAAGATCGCTGAAAGTGGACTTCCACTTCATGCATTTGATAGTTTTGAAGGGGCTGCGAAGAAGGTGATCAGTTTAGCGGGGGGAAAGCCATCACATTGATGCTGAGATATTGGAGCATAAAGCTTTGTACATGTGGGATCTAGCATATAGATAGATAGTGTGTCGGACTGTAGAGTAAGCCGTTCCCTGGCAGATATAGAAAGTACCCTTTTTAAGTCCCACGTGAGGGATGACGAACCGAAACTCGGGGCTTAAATTTCACGATCACTGTTTCAACCTAGAAGCATAAGGAGGAGGCGGAGTATTGGTCTCCTTGTGGGTACCGAAATCGAGAATGAAGGATATGACGAAGGGAATAGATGACGTTGCTCCTTATATACGTTAGATACAATATGATGATTGACGCCTTCGGACCGTTTTCCTCTCATCTGCACTAAGCCCAATGATCGTAACGGAAGACGATTTGCTAGCTATGACAACACGGTTTCCAAAAGAACATGTACGAACCCTGTATTCTACAGGTAGATGTATAAGTTTCTTATCTCCCGGCATGACCCAGTTATTATGGACGTACACCCCCTCCCCTATCATCTTATCATTGCACAAGTCGGGGTCGGCCCCAAGGATCGAAGCAACTTGGCTTCATTGGTGCGAAGGCACGTTCCATCTTCAGAGAAGATCATATACTGGACACGGCCATCAATTGAACGTTGCCCGAGACATGTACCAGTAGAAGTATCCCACAATTTGATGGAATATTCTGCTGATGCAAACATGTTTTCACTTGGAGAGAATGAAATGACTGGAAATCCTTCTCCGTGGTCTATGGAGTGTATCAGGCTACCTGTCCGTATGTGCCGAAGCCGAATTAATGGAGAATTGCAGTAGATCAACGCTATGAAGTTTCCACGAGGTGAGATTTCATTGTCCTTAATGATGTATCCTTCTGTGAATGTGAGGAAGGGTTCCGCTGAGGTCAGGTCCCAGAGATCAGTACGACTCGTGTCTTTTCGGTCCTCAGAACATCCGGTTGCCACCAGTTGACTATCGTGTGATATTGTCAGGTCCCCTGTGAAACATCCCAAACTATAACATCAGAAAAAGAGACCAAGATGCTATGAATCTACCATCAGGGGATATGGAAACTATCTCGCTTCTCTTATCGGGTATTTCTTGTGACAGTCTCCCCGATACCAAGTCCCAAACTTTGATCTTTCCGTTAGATATAGCTGCGAGCTTTTCGCCATTTGACGCAAATGCCACGAAAATTATCGCACTTGAATCAGGTTCGAGGAACGTTGATTTTCCAGTGTGCGTATTCCAGAGGCGGACGGCCCCGGCCTCCGACACGGTTGCCAGCTGTTTGCTGTCTCATGAAAGGCAGCATCTCGAATGTTATCTTGATCTTCAAACGATTTCAGACAAATCCAAGTTGACGTATCCCATAACCGACACACATGTGAGTACATATGCGAAGATATCACCACCATTAGTCTGCAGTCAGGTGAGAATTTTAAGCTTTCGATAGTCTCACCGCGTGGTTTTGGGATGCTATGCAGTAATGGGCTCCAATATTTATCAGCACTTGGCTTCTGAGATATCCAAGCAGGAATCTCTTCTCCAAACTCACGTCGAATGATACTTTCCTGCGATGCAAAGAGCAAAGCAGATATGTAAATTTGTAAAGGGGTTTCCTCATACACTGACCTGAAGCTGACAGCGAACCGTTGTGCATCATGAACAAGTCTCTGCATTTTTGCGCTGGTCCCCAGCTACATCCATTACCGTAGGTCCAGTGCAGAGATTATATCGTACTTACCTGGAGAGTGACTAAGTTGTTTAATATCATGATTGCGATCGGGATCCTTCCCATAACAGCCATAGCTTCAAGCCAATGGACAAAGTGTGTTCTTAGGAAGTCATAGAGCACTGTGTCATCCGACGCCACAATATCGCTCAGTTGAAGATGGTCTACCCAGTGACTACAGGCATATTGCACCTGCTCGGGAAGGTATTCATGCACGACTGAAGGTTTTATGTCTGTCATGTAAGTACCTGGGTCTTCAAGGCAGCATATATCACGCCGTAGGGTATTAGACATGATATTCAGGCAGTAATGGTAAATTTTACGATGCGCTTGTTTCTCATCGACCCAAAAGCGACTATCTTTGCATCGCGGAGAGGCTAGAAGAAAATCCCTGAATGATAGATGTAACAATTGAATGGGGCCGTGATCACCTTGGGGCATTTCTAGGACCGAATAAAGGTGCTCCATAAGCCATCTTGTGTCACTAAGCTCGACTTCAACAAGCCTGCTTAGAGCTATGATGGAAAGCGGTCTGGATAGAACAAGAATGGAGCCAACTACCTGTTTAAATAAGTCAGACATCGCCTGGTCGTTGTCCACTTCTCCGGTAAGCACGGCCGGAGGCGATGGTTCTTTGACATTATGGCATTGAGCTGGATATATATAACCCTAAATCCAACGGAAGAAGCAGCTCATAGTACACCATGCGCAAAGATAGATGCTCCGAAGCTTTCTTAGCCTCGCAATGTGTGGACCGATAATATAGAAGCCAGTTAGAAGAGCCGGTGCTTCTCGCAGAAAGAAGGGATAGACATCCATGAAAGGCCCCAGACATGAGGGGTTTCACCGTTTGCTTGACGTGTCAGCTCAGCCTAGCTCCCCGTGCGTAGTATACTACCCCACCTCTCCCCCTTGTCTGTCCTCTCAGCTGCGTTAGTGGAATCACACTGCAGGCTACGCTGCCACAGTCTATAGTAAGACTAAGTACATATTTCCACAGAGTGAGGGAAATTCAACCCTGCATGGCGGATGAAACCATAACATAGTGAGGACCGAGACCCTATATGAATTAAGTTTGTATACCTTGGTCCTTAACCGTAACCCCTAATTAAATAAAAAGCTAGGGTTGCATTTCCGTTTGCGCTAGTGGAGCTGGCCATGTATCTAGCCGATGTGCCGTCAGATAAATATGAACGACTGCTAGTCGTTTTCATTCACAAAGGAGCCTCCCAATGGTGGAAATTCAGCCAACACATATATCTGGATGCCGAATGTCGTGTTCTTCAATTGAGGGCTTAAATGGTGTATCATGTTAACTCGATAACTCAAGCTAAGGAAAAGCAACCCTGTGCCTGATGAACTGTCTTCTGCACTTGGCTGTATCTTTTTCAAGAGCCGCGCGAGAGACCATACAATGATGTCTAAACTTGGCCTTTTGTGCCCGAGCTTTATCTCCGGTCAAAAGATTAGTGACATTGCTGAGGTCATCCTATAGCTCAATGCCCTGATTTGCATAAGAGCCCTAGGGATATAATGTAGTCATCGGCCATTAATAGTTTATCAGTAGGCAGAAGAACCATCAATCAAAGGCCTTGAGTCTCTGTAGATGATCGAGGACTGTGCATTAAAAGTTTGATGGTTTTTGACTGTTGTTGGCTGAGATTTCCTCAATTACTGGGAAGTTATGGGTCATGGCAGGTATCGCAGAGACAGAGTGGGGTACTGAACCCCAAAGACTGGCCAAGACTCTCCATACCTTCGATTGCTTGTCTTTTTCAGAGTTCTGATAGAAAACCCCACGTAGAGTTGGTAGATTTGAGTTGCGATCCTTCTTCAGAACCTGGCAGTGAGTGGAGTACCCGGGCTGATGTAGAGTCTGGGCTATTGGACGGCCATCTCCAAATGATCTGTAAGTTCGTATGATGGACACCGGTTGGCTTTAGGGTTTGGTACATTTCAACTGTGCTTGGTGGGATGAAAAGATAGTGTGTTGATGCTGTGTTCTATGCGAGTGTTAGTACGTGGGGGAAGTCTCTGTTGAGATAAGTAGTAGCAGAGGGTTATAGATTGTAAGGAAAGAGCAAGCAAAGGTCATGATGCAGGGCCCATGTGACTTGGTTATACAGCGTTAAGCAGTTCTACTACTAGTAGGAAACAAGAAGAAAGGGGCGGGAAAGAAAAACAAAGAAATTAAGAAAAACAAAAAGAGAAAAACCGAAACAATAAGGAAAAATAATCAGGTATGACAATTATTCAAGCCCAAGATTGTATATCCAGACACTTGGATGATCATGATTTTAATTCTTTAGTCAAATAAATTATGATTATGCAGCAGCATACGCACACCGAAGCAACGAAGCCCCCGCGATCGGCGCCCCGCTGTTTCAGTCTTCGGCATTGACAGCCCACGTCCTTTCCTTTTCACCCCTCCTGATTCCTCATCACAATACTTAAAAAAAATATACATATCTTCAATCTCCTCAATTGCCTTCTTCCCTGAAATCACTATCCTCGTCCAATCCACCATCAGCCCTCCCTAACAATGTCTACGTAAGCCCATACTTACCTCCCCTTCCCCACCATGCATATACCCCTCCATCCCGCAGTCAACTAACATGATTACCAAAAGAAACATCACCTTCCACGCCAGCGCCTTGACGCGCAGCGAACGCAGCGAACTCCGCAACCAACGCGGCCTCACAATTTGGCTCACCGGTCTCTCCGCCTCGGGCAAATCTACCATTGCCGTCGAGCTCGAGCGCCAGCTCATCCGAGACCGGGGAGTCCACGCCTACCGTCTCGACGGTGACAACATCCGCTTCGGACTCTGCAAGGACCTCGGCTTCAGCGAGAAGGACCGCAACGAGAACATCCGTCGGATTGGGGAGGTCGCCAAGCTCTTCGCCGACAGCGCCACCATCGCCATCACCTCGTTCATCTCGCCCTATATCGCGGACCGTCAAATCGCGCGCGACCTGCACGAAGTCCCCACTCCAGGCGAGGAGACCGGTTTGCCCTTCATTGAGGTCTTTGTTGATGTTCCCGTTGAGGTTGCCGAGAAGCGTGATCCCAAGGGTCTCTATAAGAAGGCCAGGACGGGTGAGATCAAGAATTTCACTGGCATTAGTGCGCCTTATGAGAAGCCTCTCAATCCTGAGATACATATCGAGAATTATGATTTGCCGGTTGAGGATGCCGTGAAGCAAATTGTGGATTATTTGGATGCCCAGGGTTACTTGCCTCCTAAGAAGGAGTAGGTCTTCTCTTGTGTATCTCTTTTTTCGTTTGCATGTGGGTTTGTTCTTGTGGATATTTGCGAACTAGATCTGTTAAATCGGTGATCTATATATAGAATTTTACTCCTTTTCGGGGTCTTCGATTGTGTTTCATTCAAGTTATTCAAGAGTATGATGCGAAGCAAGTAAGCAAAGTATATACGCTACAAAACAAGGTATCAAGTGTACCGTACCCAGACAGATATCCACAGGATCATTGCCCTCTAATTGAGCTCGAACTCATAGTACACATATGCTGTGTACTCACCGCCTCCCTCGTGTACTTCGCTCGGGTCGTCTTTCTTGACCCGGCCCTTCTTGTCCCGTCCAAACGCATTCCCGGCGAGGTAAGAGTACTTCTCATCCAGGTTATGCTTCGCCTTGTCAGCTTGCTTGGAACCCGGTGTCTATATCATGTTAGCCCTAAACCGTAAAGACCACCAACTGTAAGTACATACCCGGATAAGAGTGCAAACGAAGTCGAGAGGAAGACCGTAGCGTAGCACGGTCTCAACAAACACACGGAGAACGAGAACGTGAATCCAGACCATGACGGCCTCGCTCCAGGCAGTCCGTCCGAGCCGTAGTGTCTCGCCCCACAGCTTGCGCTCGTCACCTCCCACGCGCTCGACTTCCCTGCGCTCCTCTTCCTTTCCACCTTCCACGTACTTGAATTCACGGGGAATCCACTTGTGTTCACGGGCCTTGTGGACAAACTCCAAGCTGTGTTTCTTGAACGTCGTGACGGCATACAGCGTGAACTCGTCATCCGAAGCGACAAATGTCGCAGACCGGGGAACCACCATAGGCGAAACGGTTTCGTACGTCTTGAGGAACTCTTTGACCTGTTGAGCCGGGACGGCGACGAGATGTGTCTCGAGGTATTCCGAGTTCTGGACTACACTGCGGGGGTCGACAACCGATGCGAGGGACTTGGTGGCCAGGTTACCTCTACACTAGACGTCAGTATCCCGTGGATATAGATTAGGGGGTTATCGCACGTTTGCTTTCGTTGAAGAGTGGCCAGGGTGGTCTTGACTTGATTGTACTGGGAGTACTTCGACCTGATGTCATTGTCGATGCTGGCAGCTTCCTATTCACAGTTAGATGCCACAGACAGCCAGTTGAGCATTTTAAGAAGCATACCTTCTGGAGAAGGTCGATAAGCTCACCCAAAGACTTATCGGCCCTATACTTGACTTTGTTCCACGTAAAGGTCCGCAGGTACTGATCCACCGGCTCTAATGATTCAATGTTAACACCCTGTTCAATGGCGATCCACCGGTCTGGAGCAAAACATACTGTCATTCACAGCCTTCATCTTGCTGATTTGCGCTTCATCACCCTCCAAGATATTCTTCAGCGCATCGCCGACCTTGGACACAACACCCTGACAGGCGGTCTCGAGTTTAGCCAGCTCATCGGCCTGCTGCACTAAGGCGTCTAATGTGCCGATCTTGAACTCGGGAATGGGGAATGGGGCAACCGATCCATTTTCCGGGGCGACGGTGGCGGAAACAGCGTCGAGAGCGTCATCGCGATGGTGAGAGGAGGTGATGGAGGTGGGGAAGGACACGAGAAGGTACTTGGTGGGTTTGGACATGGTGACGAAAGATACCACTTGTACTGGCGAGAAGAGGTTTAATCGAGTAGAGAGTAACGACCTGTTGCCACGCTCAGCAAGCGGGCAGAAGGCAGTCGGATGGAGAAAGCGGACAAGGAGGAGGGAGGTTGGGAAGGCTGGCCGTCGGTCAGTGTCGTGGAGTTAAGGTGTTGGAGAGCTTCCCAGTTGCGGATCCCGGGAGGCGGTCGGCGGCACGTTTGAAGGTCCCGCCTTTAAATTATATAGTAGTACTGAGCTGACGTATGTTTACCACCTTGTCTATAAGTAAAATCTGTCAAATCCTTTTACAGTGTGCATTATCTCATGCTTTCTTTTGCCTGTCTACATATGTGGTCCAAAACTCGCAGTCGGTCATGTCCCCAAGAAAGAAGTATGGTCAATTAAAACATATATGAATTGCCCCGTTGTGATACTGCTGGGCTACATCTAACCAAACAAAATACTATACAGTCACTATATACAGTTCCACTGAAACAAACCAGTCTCTAACCGTCTATACGCCTATCCAATAAATGCATATGTCACGTTATATAAATTCTCGGAAATCGGTCTGGTCTCAAGTTAACTGAGGCGCTAGTTAGTGATATTATATAAACTCGACATGGCCTAGAAAGAAAGGATATTAGCTTTCAGAGTCTTGATTTCTTTGGGCGGATAAACATACTGCGGCTTGCTTGGGTTCTATAAACAAGGCCTTTGCCTCAACCAAAACCGCGGGTTCTTCTCCCTCCTTTGGCAAAGTCTCAATGCGCGCCTCCACCCAGGCTTTACGACCCTCGACCTTCACAGTCTCGGCCCGCAGAACAGCATAGGCTTCTGCCATGGCAGGGCGCCGATAGTCGATGTTTAGATTGGCCGTTACGCCCACCTTGTTCGGCAGAGCGGGGAAGCAGCACCGTGCCATCGCCTCGTCGAGCAGTGTGGCCAAAAGGCCACCGTGAACAATGCCCAGGTGGCCACTGATGGCGGAACCGAGGTAGAAGATCGAAACCAGGCTCTTCCCATCCTTCTCGGAGAAGACATGCGGCGGAACAACAATTCGATCAGGACCTGAAAGGGTGCCTGCCGTCAGATGGCGGTCGCGCAGCTCGGCGGGGATTTTCAAATGCGGCCGGGACTCGGTGAAGGCAGGGTTCTCCCGCAGCGCCACGGCTACCGGATGGTTGCGGATGAATTCATCGACCTCTTGCGAGAACTGGTCGGGGGGAGTGAATGCGGTGAGAGTTTCCTCATCTGTACGCAGAGTGACCGTCATCATGCGAGAAACGGTCTTCTGGGTTTGGTAAACGAGTCCGGCAGTGAAGGCGACTAATGCAATGGATGTAAAGCCCACGAATCGGCGTAGACGAGACCGAGGCTTAGATGTCTGAGGAGATAGTGGTGATGCAGCTTCTGAAGCCGGGGACAGAGTGATTAGCAGTGAAACACGAGGTGAGGGATGGGATGCAGTACCAGAAGAATAGAGTCGCTGGGAAAGATTGCGAGGTAGAGAAACCTTCCAAGGGGGATGCACGAGCCACTGGGCTTTTATAGGACCATTTGACTTAAGACAGAGCTTGGTCGTGGTGGGGACAGCCCGAGAGAAGACTGACGAGGGGACTCGCGGCATGGCGACAGTGAGATCTGGGCTCGCACTCCGGGATGGCAAAAAATCGAGTTCGTCAGAAGGGCTCTCAGCCACAAAGCAGCCCTGATGGGGAGCTCAATTGGTATCTCGGGAGCTCCTGGTGGAATTCTTCTGCTTATCTGACTCCCCAACCGAGTGGTGAAGGACTGATCCCCTCAACAAGGCCTGAAGATTGGGTGTCTGGGGGCCCTTCTGATTGGCGACGGCGGTAGGGGCAGCGGATCACTGGACTTTAAACCTCGGCTCGTTTTAAAACTCTTCCTTTCATCATCACCGACAATCCTCGGTTCTGTACCGAAGTCATGCAGAACTGGTGGGCTCAGTAACGACACGGGTGATAAAAGTTTTTTTTTATGAGTGTGACAGTCCGGATGTGTTCCGTTCGCCTTCGAGAATCCTCGAAAATGTACCTATCATATTGTTTCACAACAAGGGTCGCCCAAACGGAAACTAGACTTGAAGATCATCTGAGGCAGATCAACCTTTCGGTGGCCCCATGATGGCTGTTTATATCATCGCAACTATTGAACATAGATGAGCTTTTAGCGCCACGTCCTGCGGGAGACCGAACTGATCACAGCCCGAACCATTCAGAGGCGTCGAAACTATCCTAGTGCAGTGATCAGCAGGGGCATACATATCGTTGAAATTAATGAAAGAATGCCAGTTGCCAATATCCAAACATGAGGACCATGCGCAGTACAGACCTGCACCTACTACTACTAGTAGAATCATGGGTTTTCCCTGGAATCCATTCCCCCCCTGGATGGCATGCATAAAGTGCCTCTCACCCAGCATGCCAGGAAGGAGCATTCCTGATCGTCCATAGTCATCCCCCTGATCTCGTAACTGATAATCTCTCGTTACTGTCATGACACGCTCCTTTGATTTGCCATAAACTGTTAGAATATTCGTTATCAATGGCGTCGTCTGTTGTTTGGTCGATTTTTATCGCTGCTCCTCTTGCCTTGGGCTACACTAACCCTCGCTCCATTTCAATTCCTGAAGACTACGATGTACTGCAATATGTTGACCCACTTATCGGAAGTTCGAACGGAGGTATCATTCTTCCAATCGGTCTCAATAAGAAACATTGCGATTGGCATCTGATCCCCTGTATTATTTAGGCAACGTCTTCGCCGGCGCGTCACTTCCCTATGGGATGGCGAAGGCTGTAGCCGACACAGATTCTGTGAACAACCAGGGCGGCTTTGCATACGATGGAAGTAACATCACAGGGTTTTCCAGTCTGCATGATTCAGGTACTGGAGGTCAACCTTCGCTCGGGAACTTCCCTATTTTCCCATATATGGGCTGCAAGGATGACGATGTCAATGGCTGTGTGTATCCCAAGAAACAGCGCAAGACGCACTACGACCCCGGCTCTGTCTCTGCGACCCCGGGTTACTTTGCATTGACCATGGCATCGGGGATTCAAGTAGACATGACGGTATCCCACCATGCATCTCTCTTCCGTTTTCGGTTCCCAGCAGATCGCGAAGCAAAGCCCCTTATCCTGTTGGATCTTAGTGACTTGTCCGACACTCGACAGGACAATGGAACTATTACCGTAGATGCTGACACGGGGCGGATGGTTGGCCATGCTCGCTTTTTACCCAGTTTTGGAAGTGGATCCTACACTCCGTACTTCTGCGTCGACTTTCGCAGTGCCTCGGGTATTAGAGATAATGGCATATTCGTCAATTCGCGAGCGAGTACGGATGTAAAGAACCTCACGATCTCCCGAAGCATAAATGGGTACCCGCTACCGGTTTGTTCAGGCATCGAACCTGTTAGTGTCAAGTATGGCTAACAAGTGTAGGGAGGTGCTTTCGTTCGATTTAACTCATTGGCCGATAATACGGTTCTAGCCCGCGTAGGCCTTAGTTTCATTAGTAGCGAACAAGCTTGCAGCAACTCTGAGTCTGAAATCCCTAACTTTGACTTTAATGCGACGCATTCCGCCGCGGTGGATTCGTGGACAAAGAAGCTTGCCCCGATCCGAGTATCGAGAAACGGGGTCAATTCTTCATTCCTGTCCACGTTCTATAGTGGAATCTACCGCACCATGATCAATCCGCAGGACTACACCGGGGAGAACCCACTGTGGAATAGCACAGAGCCATATTTTGACTCTTTCTACTGGTATGCGCGCCGTCTGCCCCTAGAGCTCTTTCCTGATATGTGATAGTCTTTGGGATTCGTTTCGGTCTCAGCTGCCATTTCTGACCATCCATGATCCTGCATCGCTGGCTCGAATGGTTCGATCGTTGATTGATACCCAGAAACATCTAGGCTGGCTTCCAGACTGCCGCATGTCGCTCTGCAAAGGTGCGGAATTGTAGCCCTATTAATAGAAGCGATCTGACCGGTCTAGGTTACACCCAAGGTGGCTCAAACGCGGACGTGGTCCTTGCCGATGCATATCTCAAGGGCATTTCCGATGAAATAGAGTGGGAAGCGGGCTACTCTGCCGTCCGGAAGGATGCTGAAGAGGAACCGCATGACTGGTCGAACGAAGGACGTGGTGGCCTAGACAGTTGGAAATCGCTAAACTACATTCCAGTAGAGGATTTTGACTACAAGGGCTTTGGAACGATGACGCGGAGCATCTCCCGCACGCTGGAATACTCTTATAATGACTTCACAATTGCACAAATGGCCCGTGGCCTCGGAAAGACGGGTGATGTTGAGAAATACGAAGCTACTTCTCGATTTTGGCAGAATCTGTTTCGCGACGACCAGGCCTCCTTCATAAACGGAACTGATACCGGATTCAAAGGCTTCTTTCAACCCAAGTATCTGAATGGCACCTGGGGATATCAGGTTTGTCCCCATGGCCTAGTTTCATGAAAGTATTTGCGTTTAATCAACTAAAAGGACCCCATCACCTGTTCCAACATCGACACGAGCGGGAGAGCTTGTTCGCTTCAAAACAATGCAGCCGAAACATTTGAGGACAGTATATGGGAGTATCAATTGTAAGTGAAAGCTAGTCAAACGGTTTAAGTAATCCACACTGACCCTCCAGTTTCGTTCCCCATGACATGGCCGCCCTTATCACTCATCTTGGAGGCCCATCTCAATTCATCCGCCGCCTCGATTACCTCCATGACACTGGCATTACATACATCGGCAACGAGCCCTCTTTCCTAACCGTCTTCCAGTACCACTACGGCGGCCGTCCCGCCAAATCCGCTTCCCGCGCCCACTTTTACGTCCCCAAGTACTTCAACGCAAACCCAACCGGCCTACCCGGCAATGACGACTCAGGCGCCATGGGCTCCTTCGTCGCAATGACCATGATGGGTCTCTTCCCGAACCCGGGACAAAATGTGTACCTGATCTCAGCCCCCTTCTTCGAGTCTGTTCGCATCACCTCGCCGCTGACGGGACGGACCGCCACGATCCGTGCCGTTAACTTTGATTCCGCGTATAAGAACATCTATATCCAATCTGCGACGCTGGACGGGAAGCCTTATACCAAGAACTGGGTGGGACATGACTTTTTCACCGATGGGCGGGAACTGGTACTCGTGTTGGGAAGGAATGAGAGCCATTGGGGTACTGGGGAGGAGGATTTACCACCGTCTCTGTCGACAAGGGGTGCTCTCCTTGATTAAGTTCAAGTGTATGAACTAACTCTGATGGTAATTATGAAACTGAATTGATTGTACTAGTCATAGCAAAACTAGGAGTCTGTAATATAAGGTCCCTCTTTCAGGAGTAAGATGGAAAATCACTGATCTCCTAAACTGGGCTGTAATCAAACAACGTACCCAACTGAACGTTACAGGTAGAAACTACATAGTACTACAGCAAACCAAGAACAAATCCATATATGAAGTTTTCTAAATTCTTTTATTCATTCGTTGAGGATTAATCAAACACCCAGCTGAGACAGGGCATCCAATTCGAGACAAGATGGTGACTGTCTCGCACAAATGCAGTGAAAAGGGGAATCGTAATATCTACAGTACATCACGGCATGAAGCAATTCAATAAAAGGAAAAAGGAACAGAAACTGCAACCACAAAAGCTCAAAAACCAGAGGAACAGAATTCAACCCCAGTGTGGGTCTAGGCCTTGCCACGATAGAACTTGCTCTCAACCCAGGGCATACCGGTAACGGTAGCCTTACGGAGCTTGTTACGAACCAAGATGCCAACCTCGGTGCCCTTCTTGTGGAGACCTTGCTTGACGTAGCCCATGGCGATGTTGGTACCGCTGAGAGTAGGACTGGGAAGACCGGAGGTGATGATGCCGACGGGAGTACGGGATTCGTCGTTGATATCAACGATGACGGCACCTTCACGGGCGGGGGAACCCTTCTCGACAGTGAAGCCTACGCGACGCTGGGAGAGGGTCTTGGCGGGGGAGGCGAGCTGGGGGAGGATGGCGGAGGCGCCATTGAAGTTGGCGGTTGCGGGGTCGCGACGGTCTTTGCCGACGACCCAGCCCAGGGATGCGCCGGGGGGAGTCTGGGCGGTGGAAATGTCGTGGCCGTAGAGACACATGCCTGCTTCCAGGCGGAGGGAGTCACGGGCTGCTAGGCCGGCCAGGCGGACCTGGTCAGCGTTTGTGAGGAGGAGCTCGGTGACTTGGGCGGGCAGGGAGGGGGAGCCTGCTGTTGGGATGGAGATTTCGAAGCCGTCCTCGCCAGTATAGCCGGTACGGGAGATGAGGAGGGGGTGAGGGGTGCGCGAGCCATCGGGGAGGGTGAGATGAAGCTCGCGACAGTTGCCGAAGTAGAGGGTGCTGAGGTCTGTTTCTGGACCGGAGCCGTGGACGTAGGACTGGAGGACCTCAGCTGCGAGGGGGCCCTGAAGGGCGACCAGGGCGCGGTCCTCGAGGATGGACCATTTGATGCTGTCGGCGCCGTGGGCTTGCTTGTAGGCGGATATCTCGGCTTCCAAGAAAGCTAGATCCTCGTCGCGCCGGCCGGCGTTGGTGACGAAGTAGAAGGTTTCGTCAGTACGACGGGTGATGACGGTATCATCGATGATACCGCCGGTGCCTTCTTCGAGCAGACAAGAGAGGGTGGATTGGTTGTGACCAAGCTTATCGAGGGATGATGGTGTGACCTTCATCAGGAGCTCGATTGCGCCTGGTCCGCTGAGTTCGTGCTGAACCCTGCAATTGGCGTTAGTCTTTGATTCTATGTATATGGAAGTATTCTTGGATGTGTACATACATGTGACTCACATCGAACAAGCTTGCCTTTTCTCTGGTCCATTTGTGGCTTTCAACATGGCTGAGATCGGAGTATTGCAAGGGCATGTCAAACCCCGCAAAGGGCACCATTTTCGCGCCCCGGGCGAGATGTAGGTCATAGAGCTGAGTCTGTCTCAGCGGCCCCGAAGGAGCTGCAGACGAAGCAAATCGCACACCACCATTAGAGGAAGAAGCAGAGCTGGCACGGAGGAATGGGCGTGCAGCAGTCGGAGTGCGGAGACCGCGGTGGAGCGGAGATGTCAACTGCCGCGGGAGGAGTGTCGAGCCATTGACGACGATAGAAGTGGGCTGCGAGAGCGATTTCGAACCCAGGAGGTTGATACCTCGTCGCAAAGGTCGTACGGCGGACATGATGAGGATTTGAAGCGATTAGATGTGATTTTTTACAGAAGGAAGTTCGTGAACAGAGGACGACAGGGAAGAATTGCGGAGGAGTATGACTGATAGCGGGAAAGTCACATGCCGATAGGGCAAATTCCGCGGGCAAGCCGTCCCGCCGGACGGGTTACCCACTAGATTTACGCAAGATCAAGCATCTACGGAGTATGACGATGGTGTGAATCAATAGGCCAGATTGGAATCTTCTGCGAAAGGCGCGACAAGGGCATCTTCTACCCGCCCGTACCACTGGGGAGTCTTGTGCAGTCTCCAAAATTCCAGACAATCTCAGCGCATGACATGTCGTCTGTCTGAGAGATTTTACTTTATCGCTACAGAGATGATATCTTTCATTACCATGATAACACGAATAGGTAGTCAGTCATGCAGAAAGTGCTGTGGACCTGAATCATAACAATAAGAAAATTCCTCCCACGGTCCTTAAAAAAACCACCAGGGTCGTATTACGTCGGAAGACACACACTTGTGATCACCCCCGCAAAGAATAGAAATTTAGATCAAACAACATGAACTCATTACAATCCGTTATCAGCGCAGGAGAAAGGACTGCCCACAGTTCCAGCTTGATAGTTTAGGACTACGCTGTCCACAGCAGCCTGCAGAGATCGTTAGTCGTGACCATGGACAGCGTGACCGAGAAGGTCGAACTTACATAGGTTCCAGGCCCTAAGAAGAATAGGCCGACGAAAATCAAGCCGACATTGATGATCAAGCCTATCCAGCCCCGGATTCCTCGATTTTTGTAGAAATCCGGTCCGTAGTCTTCACGTCGCATCCGGAGGTAGGCGACACCCCAGAAGATGAACCCGAAAAATGAATCAAACAGCGCGCTCATGATCGAAAGCAGATCGGAGAAGAATGGAATCACTTCGGCAATGATAAACGCCCCAATCCACAGAACGGCTAGGATTCCAGCCCAGGCTGCCCATCCGACGACGGTATGATTACCCTTGTGGCGCGTTCCCTCGAACAGACGGAAGAAGAGGAAACGGGCAGAGACCGAGGCGTACAACACCCCCAGGAAAATCAAGGTCGGGACCATGAATGAAAAAGACACCTTCTTGTACACCTCATTGCTGATAGAGCCGAACGCCGGAGCGGTCATATATTGGTTGCCGGTGTAGGCATATACAATCGAACCCACCAAGCTAAACACGATGATTTCCGCAACAGTGACCGCCGTAACGGATTTCCAGAAGTCCTTCGGCTCCTTCATTTCGGCGATGAAACTCGGGAGTGTGATCTGGCCAATGAACGTGTAGCTGATGTTTAGAAAAGCATTGACGCCCGAGACAAATGTTGTCCCGGCCACGGGGACTGCGGTAACAATTGGGTCGCCTTTTGCGGGACTGTAGCCAGCGGGATGATCTTCGATAGCTGTGAAGACCACGGCCAACATCACTGAAATGAACGTGAACAACGCTGAGAAAGTGGCAATCTTGGATAGTGTGCTGAATGTTCTTGGAAGTGAGCAGACGAACGAGACAATCGCCGTGACCAAGGAAAAGACGATAGTGCACGTCCCATGCGAGGAGACCGTGTTGAGCCACTCGGCGCCGACCAAGCAATGCAAACCCTAGAACAGTATTAGGGCTCACCCATCCGGGGCCTTGAGATGATATTGGGTGAGGTTACCTGAATAAAGGTATTGTTCAACAAGAACATCACTGCGGTCAGATACCAGGCAATCTTCGAGTCCCAGAAGAGATGCTGACCGATATCACACACGTCGCGAACATGGGGATGGCGCAGGCAGAATCTCCTAAGGTGATTATCAATATCGGCTTTAGGGGATACAGAGTCGCATTCACTTACCAAATAATCAGGGAAGTGTAAAGCACAATCCCAGCAATAACCGCAGTCAGAATCAATCCCGGGACTAACCCGAGAACGGAATAAGACCAGGGAAATGACATGATAGCCAAGCAGATGTATTCGGAAAAGAGCAACGCGGCCGTCTGTTCGTCCATGCTGATTAGCACCAAGCCATGAATCTATCCTTTTCGACATGCGAACGCACCTTCTGCCAACTACATGTTCGGTATTTGATGGAGTTACCCGCCTCCATTTCGATTTGTCTTCCAATGTCATCTGTGTCCGAATCGGACTGCACTCCCGGCTGTCGCTGATTCTCGATATCCTTCACCTTATCGGGAGAATCAGGTCGCTCCGAGGTGGAAGACTGACGGTCTTCGTCCCCACGCCCGTCAAGGGCCTTGGATGTATAGGGCGCAGCCATTTTGAGGAGCGGACAGACCGCCGTTGCAAGGAAGTGGTGGAGTGGGTGGTAGAAGTAGAATTGGAGGCCTTTGGATGCATGTACTGCTCCTCACGTTAAGAGATTCAGATAGAAGATCTAGATAATCGCAGGTCAATAGTCGCCCAGAGGAGTAAACGGATGCGTGATGGGACACCGGCGAGCCAGGTGGGAGACCAGAATTACTTACCTTAGGGACAGAATAAGGATTTATATCAGAAGAAGATCTGTAAAACTTTCTAGACGAAAATGAACAAAGGCGAAAAGGAAATAAAAAGGAAAAATCTATTCGGTTAATTAGCGTCAAATGCGAATGGCAAATGCTGGGCATGGACGTACCAAGAGAGCTTGGAGGCGTCCAAGCAATCGACCCCAAGACACTAAGAGGCGGGAGAGAAGGTGAGAAGAACAACCACTGCGATGGTTGTCAGATGGAGGAGGCGAAGAATTAAAAACGAAAAGAAAAGAAAAGTCAAATAGCGAGTAATATTTTGAATGAACCTTATCATGAATACTATCCGATTAATATTTTTTTAATTCACATTAGTCTCTACACTTTCTTTTCCTTTTCTTTTCTTTAATTAATTAATTGATTGATTGATTTCTATTTTGCATTGACCTCAGCGGCTGATAAAGGCGCAGGGCAAGTCCGTTTCCAGAAATCCAGCTTTCCAGCTTAAGCTTCTCTTAGCTTAGCGTCCACCCCCAGTGGATCCCATGGAATGACCATCGACGCAATGAGTCGGACGCCGATACCGACGATAAAGTAAACTTGGAATAGTAAACCCATGACGTGCTCACGGCCGTGTGGGCCATCGATGGTACGCATAGAGTCGGCTCTTTGCGCGTCCCATTACTTACTTGTTAGGGCAGGAATCGCTCCCAGGTAAGATTATGCTCTTGAGGTACCGAGTTAAAACAGCCAAAAGTAACTCAAGCTTCCGCGACCACGGGTCACGGGAGTTCAACCAGGGTGACAGTCAAGATACCTGAGATCTAAGCGAGAGGTTGAGAACTACTTCGTACCCGGTGCCTTTTCAGGGCAACGATCGCCATAAACTTTCCAGTTGTGAACACTACCTACCTGCAGAGGCAGCTACGTCGAAGATTAATTAAAAGCAGTCAGGAATTATGGATAACTTCCCATGACTCCACCCTCTGGGATTGGATGCAACCCAGTTACCCATGCGCCGCCCCCGCTGCCAATCATTACCTCGGAAGGCGTAGATGGCGGAGCCCATCCGAACCAGTTGAGTGCCCCGCATCCGTAAACTGAACTTTTCTTTACCTCGTAGCGGATGCACCCCACTTGGTTCTTGGCCTCAACCGAAGACGTTGTCCCGTGCTTATCCAGTAACAGCCTTTGCCTTGGCCGGATTATAGTACTTACGAGATCGATGACTGCGATACTCCGTACATTGGATAGGATTTTTTTAACCGAATATCTTTCTTATTCTTTTTTTTTATTTATTTATTTATTTTTTTTTTTTTTTACTTTTGCCCCTTTGCTTACTGCTTACTTAAATTTCATCAAAATAATGAATGCGCCTTTGATTTTTTTATGCTTTTTTTTGGCGCTAATTTTGGGCAGCTCGGCCGATCTGAACCTTCCCCCAAACCTACTAGTAGTACTCATACCATAGGTGGTTGCACCTTACATACAACACAAGTAGCCTACGTTAGTTACACAACGACCGATATTAAATCTCGCACCAGGCTTCCCTTTTTCATTATACTAATTTGATGTTCGATGATTCTTTATTTTACTTTTTCTCGTGTTGGCTTAAGCTTGAGCACGTTATGCACTAGCAGATGGCGTGATCCCCACGTGCCCAGTCAATCCCTACCCTTCCTGAAGCCTTGGGATGCTTACTTTGCGTAGAGCGAATGGTGTAACACGCCAGGATAGTCTCATTATTAACAGATTTTTTGACTCGATCTTTATTTTATCCCGGTTGATAAGTTAATTGATGTCAGCAAAAAGCTCGCAATCGCAATTTCATGCCACGATGATGTAATGGAGGCTATCCATGTTCGAGAACCATGTGGCGCCTGGGTTCTAGATTCGGTCTCCTGCTGGGGCTGGGCTTTTATCTTTTTTTGGCTTTTCTTTTTTCAGCAGCCTTTAGCTCTATTGATCAGGTACCTGCCTGACTAGGGTCGGAGTCTACTGGGTTGGTCTACTAAATCGTGCAGGGAACGTTTATGTATATCATATCACCTGATTGGGAGTTCTATTTCCGGCCGGGAATGGTCTGGAACACGCCAGGATGTTACTTGTTTAGTCTTGTGCAATAAGTGCATGGGTTCCTACGGTCGCTGATCTATATGGGTTTAGTACAATGGACTTGTGTTGAAGGAAATGCCTTGAGATAGACTTTTTGTGGTATCTGTAGTATGAACATCGCGTTGCTACACAGCCGTACAATCTTCCCCTTACATGCCCTCGTCCTCCCCGGCCAGCAGGGCCGCATAGTCGTCCACCGAGGCGAAGGTCGGCAGATGCTTGAGCTTGCGTCTCTTCTTCTTTTGATCGGGCTTGTCGTCCTCCTTCGGGAGCTCCACCCCGCCGCCGAGTTCCACGTCCGAAGGTAGGTCCTCGTCGCTGTCAAGGAAGGCTTCGTCGTCAGAAACATCCATGTCGAAGTCATCATCCTCGTCGAATGCATCTTCGGCCTTCTTGGCCTTGGACTTGGTCGCTGGCTTCTCGGTCTCGGAAGCCTCTTCCTCGAAGTCGTCCATATCCACGTCAGACTCGTCGTTGAAAATGACTCCCTCGTCTCCACTCTGTTCAGCCTCCTCATCCTCATCCTGATCATAGGCAGACTCGAGGTCATCCAAGTCAAGATCATCGTCGCTATCAGCTCCTTCCACTTCGGGTTTCGAGTCCACCAGTGCCTTCCAGATCTCTGACTCGGCATCGCTGAGCTCGGCATCCTCTTCAGCATGTTCGACGGGATCCTTGGCCTTCTTGCGGCTCTTATCCTTGTCCTTCTCGACACGGTTGAAGTACTCGTGGAAGAAGACATCCTCCGCGGCCACTTCGTCAGACTTCTTCTTCCAGAAGGCCTCGGAGTTAAGCGGAAGTTCCTGGGTCTGTTTGGTACCGGACACCAACCGATCTTGTGCGTCACTGCCGGCAAGGGGCTGCATGATAGAGGCACCCCTGGTAGCGGCAGAGGCTTTCGGTGTCTTGTAGACAAAGCGGTCCAGGAAGTGCATCAATGTGTGTATTGTCATATCTGGCTTTCCGCTCATAGTCTTGTGCTCTAACAATTGAGCCGCATTGACCGACACGGATGGATGGAAATGTGACAAGTATGGCAGCTATCAAACACAATATCAGTATGTAAAGTATAAACAATGATAGAGGTAATGGGATATACTCACCAATTCCCAGAGGCATGTCTTATCAGCATTACTGTGCTCTGGGTCTCGCTTGCGAGGGTCGTAACGGCTTGAGGGCTTCTTCGGCTGGGCTTCAGGCTGTTCTTGCATCTCATCATCCTCATCGGGAACATCCCTGAACACCTCTTCCCCATCACTCTCATTATCCTCGGGCTGATCGTACAAAGAATTGAGGCTAGAGAACGTCTTCTCTAATTCCCTAATCAAATACATGACGCCACAGATGAAGGCCGGCTGGTGCAGACCAAGCACCTGAATAATACGTTTCACGAATGCCTTTACACGTCGAGCGTTCACGTCGTTCTTCAAAGCCTTGAACAATAGGTTAAGATAGAGTGCCTGCTTCGAAGACGTGGCCAGTCGTGGGTCCAGAAGAGATTCGTATAATGTTCGGTAGAAACGATCAGCAGCAATTTGGTGGGAAGATGTCAGTTGCTGGATCAACATAAGAGCTTGAATGCTAGTGTTGAAGTTCGACGAGTGAGTGATGCGGAACAAAGTATCGACGTGCTTGGAAAGTCTGTGCATGGATTAGCTATAATCGCCCTAATGACTGAAAGGAAACTACATACCGTTCCGAGTCAGAGTTAGTGAAGGGATAAGCTCGATTCACACCGGTCAAAACGCCAGAAGTGAGTTTTTCTTGCATTTCCTCATGCTGAGCCTGACCCTTCTCCGCCTCCTTCTGGGCCTTCTGGGCCTTTCTGTTGAGCTTACCGTTCTTGCCATGCTTTTTACCCGACTGGAACTTGTTCTTGGTGGGCTTCAAGAAGGCAACAAAGAGCGCGAAATAGATGTCAAGAAGTTGGGCCGCAACTTGCTCCTCCTTTGTACTCAAGACAGTTTGGTTCAAGGTGATAATGGCGTAATATTTGGCGTGCTGGCTCTGACCTGGACGGAAAAGAACCTCCTCGACAGCCTTGATGATTGTTGGCTTCATCAATGGGTGTGCTTGCTCAAGCTGTAGTAAAAGGTAGGAAGCTCGAGAAGCGATCTTCTTGGCAGTATCGCCAAGTTTGTTAACCAATAGTCGCAAAAGATTTGTTTCCTGCTCAGGTTTTTCCTTGAGCAGCTCATAGACGTAGCTCACGGCCCTAGAACGAGAGAACTCAATTTCGTCATTGCACCATACTTCTAAAATCTTGAGGACCTCGAAATATTGTTCCTTCAGGAAGTGCTCAAATGCCCAAACGATAAGGTGGCGCTTCTGAAGACCATTAGGGAGGGCATCTCCTTGAGACCACTTGCTTCCTGCCCCTTGGAATGCAGCCATAAGCGATGGTTGATTCGCGAAAGACCTAAGCCTACGGTCGTTCGGAAGTAACGTGCCCTGGGCAAACATATCTTTAAGAGTCCTCAGAACTTCTACTGCCTGCGCACGGCTGCGCTTCTTCCCCAGAGCGAGAAGGTTTTCCAGGGATTTCGTGTTATGCAGAGGAGACTCCTGTATAGCAAGTGTCAACGCCGAAATCTTATCACTAAGAGTACCGGTGGACATAATGGTTGTGTAGAATTTGTGAGAAGAGGAGGCCAACGTTTTCTGCGCTTCAGCGTACATGTTGGATTCTTCCTCGAGCAGGGATACAGCGTAGTTATAGACACGATCAACCAGATGTCGGGGCAAACCGTTCGCATGTTTCGCGGAGATCGAAGGAAGTTCGGTCATGAACCAGTCAGATCTGGGTGGGACGGCCTATTGTCTAGTTAGAATGACATCTACTAGCAAAACAATGATGAACTCACAAGTTTGCTGTATTCCTTGGGAAGAGGAGGCTCCTCGAATTGCTTAGCCCTCTCTTTTTTCGTCTCCTTAGCAGCTGGGGTGGGAGGAACATCTTCATCGGAGCTTTCTTGGTCCTCCTCACTGTCATTATCATCTACAGCATCAATATCGGCCTCGTCACCTTCCACGTCTTCTTCTTCCTCCTCTTCCTCCTCTTCCTCCTCTTCTTCTTCCTCTTCATCTTGCCCCACCTCGTCTTCCTCGTCGTCGGCAATATCATCGGGAACCACTTGACCAGCGGCAGCCAAAATACCCGACAGCTCCTTTCTCAGTGCGTCCTCCTCAGACTTACTCCCGGAACCCTTGGAAATGTTCTTAGCATCTTCGACTTCAGACTCAGAGTCAACCCCGGCAAGCATGTCATAGTCTTCCTCGGTACCCCCAAGGGCCAAAATCTCGTGTCGCAGAGCATCGGTCTGCTCCGCTTCCTTTGGTTTCGACGACTTGTCCTTGCTGAAGGCGTTCTTGTCTTCCCTTGCAATCACTTCGCCATTGCGGTCCCGCTTCCTGCCCTTGTTGTTCTTGTCGGTATCGGTTCGCTTTGTGTCGGGCTTGGCTGTAGCTTCGTTGTTCTTCTTCGGGGTATCATTGGAAGCAGCCTTCTTATTACTCTTTGGCTTTTGCTTAGCAGCGTTCTGGTCTTTCAATCTCTGTTCGATCTTTTGTCGCAAGCCGGCAAACGCACTCTCCTCATATTGAGGGACGGTATCCGCACCAGCATTGGAATCATTCACCCCTCCTTCTGTGGTAGCAGCAGTCGCTCCAGAGGAGCGCTTCCCCTTTCCTTTGGCCATGGTGGGACAATTTCCTGGCCAAAACACAAGTATCGTCGGAATGGTTTTATCCTACATTTTTTTTCTGCCGCCCGAAAACCCAAAAAAATTACGGAGACCCTCGAGGCCGCCGGAGAAACGGTTTCACCGTTTGTCGGTGTCCCGGTGCACGGACCAACTAAAGCCTTCAATGCGGACCTTTTATTTAGATCTCCAACTAAATCATATCCATAATATTGGAGATAAGCGCTACCTTCTGTTCATTATTCTGAATGAATTTCCCTATTGAAAGATTTAGAAGGATTGTCAATCGCAACACTCTATAATTCATGATATCCGGTTTTCGCCCGATTCCGGGCCGCTATTCCGGCGCATATAGAGCATACTGTGGAGTCTTGCCATTGCATAAAGCTCCAAGATGCAGTTTCCATGTAGGACATTGCGCATCTACTTGCCACAAGACTTATCCGCTAATAATGACAGACGGATGGCCGAACTCGGGTGTCTAACTTCTGGATTCCAACGGGAGGCATCTCAAAGAAAAATGTCCAGGGTGAAAAAGGTACTTCTACGCGCAATTAATTACTCTGAATGACAGCAATTGACAGATGGTTAGAGGACGTGAATGACCTCTTAGTTCGAGGAGGCTTTCTCCGACAGGTAGTGGACCCCCCTGTATAGCATAGCCGATTCTAACTCTGTATAGGCTTATTCGGGGATATTCCATATGTTACCGCTAGGATTGCGCGTGCAAGACAAGCTGGAGCATCTGATTGATAAGCATATGCGTTCAGTTGGTATGCCCCATTATGCTTCTTGCGTTAGAAGTACAATTTTCTGAATGTGACTATAGGAGCGTCAAAAGTTTCACTGTCGTCCATATCTGCCCAAGAACTCTGGGAGAGGTCAGGACGCTTAGGAGAGGGTTCAGAGGTACAGTGGTATCTCCGGTCTCTTGCAAGAAACCTCTGACAGGGTATGTTAGGTGTTCAGATTCCATGACAGAAAGGAATCTCGCTTCCTTCTTGCTCCTACTCATGAGGAGGAAATCACCACTCTAGTGGGCAGTCTCGCCAAGTCGTATAGGGATCTACCTCTACGAGTCTACCAAATCTGTAAGTTTACATGTAGTAACTGACGCTTTTCCCGCTAACATTTCTCGACGTAGCAAGGAAATACCGTGATGAACCAAGACCAAGACAAGGTCTACTTCGTGGGCGAGAGTTCATCATGAAGGATCTCTACACGTTCGACTGCACTGTGGAAGAAGCTTTGAAAACATATACATCTGTGAAAGCCGCTTATACACGACTGTTCAACGACTTGAAGATACCATATTTGGTTGCTGCTGCAGATTCCGGCAATATGGGCGGCAACCTAAGCCACGAATTCCATGTTCCCAGCTCCAAAGGAGAAGATACGGTCATTAGCTGTACTAGCTGTGACACTGTTTATAATGATGAGCTTGCAGACGGAAAGATTCATGAATTCGGAAACAATGCAAGCCACCAGGCCAGCCCTGGGTTTGACACTGGAGATATGTCCCCCGAAGCAGCACCGACCATTTCTACAGGTCTCTGGATGTCGATTTCCAAGGACAAACGAACACTACTGAGAGGATGGTATCCGAAATTCTCCATGCAAGGCGAAACCCAGGAGCCAGTGGAAAGAGAAGTGAACTCTCACGCTGTTAAGTCTGTAGCTAATGCTGCAGGCATCGACCTAGACCTCAGCGTAGAGAACCCATTAGAACAGTGGGCTGCTGAAGTAAAGTCTAACAAGGCTTCCGGCCCTTACCGTGTAGTGGACATGTATGACTCGCAGGTGCGAGTGTACAAACGTCCACCGCTGAGTGACTTGCTGGATCAAGCAAGCTGCAAGGTGGAGGACATTGACTACTCTATGCTGGATCGGTTCCCTGGAACAAACAATGGCCTCAGCCTTGTCAAGGTTCAGGATGGCGACAAGTGTGCCAAGTGCGCTCAAGGTCGTGTGAAGACCCACATTGCGATCGAACTGGGCCACACCTTCCATCTTGGCACTAGATATAGTGAAGTTCTACAAGCGTCTGTCATGGTGGACCAATCCTCATCTGGCAGCTCAGAAAACCAGATCGTGCCCATGCAAATGGGATGTCATGGAATCGGCGTCTCACGTATGATCACGGCGGTCGCTGACAGCCTAGCGGACTCCAAGGGCCTCAACTGGCCCCGCGCAGTGGCTCCTTTTGAGGTCATTGTTGTCCCTGCGAAGGGCTTGGAGGAAGAAGCCGAGAAGATATATGACACACTTACTTCAGACCCAGCATCCCCAGTCGACGTCATCCTCGACGACCGAGACAAGCAAATGGGGTGGAAATTGGGAGACGCCGACCTGATCGGGTACCCCATCATTGTTGTGGTCGGTAAAGGGTGGAAGAAAGCGCAAACATTAGAAGTGCAGTGCCGCCAGCTGGACAACCTACGGGAGAATGTGCCGCTAGAGCAGCTCTCGACATTCACTCGGTCCTTACTCGAGCGCCTGTAAAGTTAGGGCCTCTGGGATTGTATTATACAGATGATCAAATTGTACAATATTCCTCTCTGATTCACCTCTATCCACATCAAATCAGGGACCACAGAGAGAAGGCAGCGATTCCTTGCCATCCAACCTAGAGATAACGGGTATAATGGGGGTAGTTAGCACCTGGTCAGCTGGGCACTTCAGAAGGTAAGGTGCTTTCGCCACTTTTCAGCCTCCTAGATATGGGTCATCAGGCCTCTTAACTCGTAATTCCCCAAAGCCAGTCTCATGGTAAACACCCTGGTTTTGCCCACCAATGTACTGCTCTCGGAGTGCTCCATGATCTATACCGTGGAATAAGCCCATTGAACGTGACGGTAGTCCCGTGTTTCTCATAACATTCGGCCAATACCACCGCACTAACAATGAGAACAGTCTGGAGAATTCCTAGATGTCAGGAAAACAGAAACTCCAAACAAACACAGTCTGGATTCAACGCTGCATTCATTAGATTTTCTTTGTAGCAGGCAGGGCAGGCGGGGTGCTCTCCTAATATTATATTAGTAGCCACCTCATTGTGAAACAAAAGCATATCATGACACTCGTGGGTTTAATTCAGCTGCTGCAGAATAAGATCGGTCAGAGTGTGCCTTAGCACGGCTGAGGCTCATTCAAGGTGGGGAATACCCATGTCGAAAATCATGCAAAAGATCAAGTTCAGTCATTGGTTTCCACCGATGTCGTACATGAAAGGGGCAGTGAAGATGCTCTGATTGGTTCCCATGGAAGTTCAACTACTACTACTACTACTACTACTACTACTACTACTACTACTACTACTACTACTAGGTAACCTCACAGCCTTGGGCTGAAACCTGTCCTATTCTGGAACCGGTAACTACAACCTTTTCTATACAATATAAAAGAAACTTCCATTTCTCTCTCATTTCAACAGTTGCCCTACACAGCGCAGGACTTATACATTTCTTCTTTTCATAGGACCTCCCACTTTTACACTCCATTCAAACAACTCACCAATCCTCTTGGTTTATATCTTCGAATCGCAATGGATAAAAATGGCAAAAAGGTCGTCAGGACCGGAGTGAATGTCTTCGTCTTTAATAAAAAAGGTCAATTCGTGATGGGACTCAGAAAGGGCAGCCATGGCGAAGGTATGTTTCTTCCTCTCCCATCTTCCCCCAAACCTCCCACGTTGAGGTTTTCACTACGCCCTCTATTCAAGTCTACATATCAATTGATTGACGAGGCATGCTAATCATTTACAGGTACCTGGGGTCTTCCTGGCGGCCACATAGATTTCGAAGAAGAAAGCCTCGAGGCTTGCGCAAAGCGCGAAATTCACGAAGAGACGGGCTTCAATATCGAAGATATCGAATTCCTCACTGTTACAAACGATGTCTTCAAGGAGGAGAAAGAGAAGAAGCACTACACTACCAATTTCTTTGCGGCCAAACTTGAGGGTGGCACAGGTGACGCTGAGGTAAGTCTCAACCCGGGTCACTAATATACTTCTGGTTTTTGGACTAACAGCCAAATCTTCTATAGCTTAAAGAACCGCACAAATGCGATGGATGGAAATGGTTCACCTGGGAAGATGTCAAGGAGCTTTATGAGGCACAAGATGCTGCTGAGAAAGCGGGCAGGGTGTCTGAGTTTGAAGGGGAGAAACTGTTCCTCCCCACGATGAACTTGTTCCGGCAACGAGCAAAGATTCATCCACTGGAGGCATATAACGGGATAATGAGAAACGAAAACAAGAAGTCTGTGGTCGATTCCGTGTCCGATCTTCTGTCTGCTCATGACTCGCTCGATGAATGCTGTAATGGAGGAGTCAAGGCAGATTGAATGACATACGCTATGGTTTTCGACGCCAGTTGGAAACCAGTCCAGGATGTTTTTTTCTTTCTTTCTCTTTGATCTGCGACATGAAATACGACGATACGCTTCCAATTACGACGAATTGTTTCTACTTACTTCCTTCACCTTTAACAACTTGTGCCTCTTCGTGTGCTAGTCACCCTATTTACGCTTGCTATCACTTTTAATGTGAACTATGAAGACGTTGTCATTATTTTGAGTCATTTCTAATAAACTGAAGCATAGAAGGTGGTATAATAAATCAATCTTCAATAATCATGGAGCTATCCCTTACGAATATCGAATGAATATATATTCAACCACATGGAACCCACCAACCAGAAGCCAGAGGGCGCCTTATCGGGCCTTTCCCTCAGTAAAACAAATAGTCCAACTAAAATAAAATCGAACTCACACCTTGACCACTTTGACCATTAGATAAAGAAAGGAAGAAAGGAAGAAAACATCAAATCCTCTTGCAATCCTACCTACTTCTAGTTAGCCCAAACTAAGCATAAAAAGCACAAACTTGACTAATCGACATAGCAAAACTCCACATAATTACATAAGCCGATCAACGACCATACCCAAAAAAGCAAGAAACCTACTGCCCGCCGCGGCGAGCATAATTAATCCCAAATCCAAACGATAACAACTAACGGACGAGGAAAACAATCCAATTCCTCGCACCGTTGATATTCAACCAAAGCCCACTTTTCCGCATACACATAGCTCGGACTCACGCAGTATCATCCAAAAATAAGGGAGCGGAAAAGTGAACGAAAGCGCCATTGCATAAATCAAAATGGCCCCTCAAAATACCCCCGCATCGGATGCTCCTGCGGGCTCAGGTATGGCGAACTTCTAAGATATGGCTGATTAGATCTGCGGGGGTGGATAGCTAATCTGGAGTGAATGAGTAGTTAACATTAACTCGCTTTCTGTGCCGCAACTTCGGGCGCTGCAGACTCGTCTTTCGTCGGAATTGGAGCATTTGACGTCGTCGCATGCTAAGTTGCGCGCGGCGCAGTCGAAGTTTAGGGATTGTGTGCGGTCGATTAATGAAGGTGTTGTTGGGTCTGAGAAGAGGGGGACGGATGGCAGAGATGACATCTTGGTGCCTTTGACGAGCTCGTTGTATGTCAAGGGTAAGCTGGCCGATCGGGAGAAGGTGCTTGTGGATGTTGGAACAGGATTCTATGTTGAGAAGGTGAGTCTATGTTCCCTTTCCTGAGGGTTGATTTGAAAACTGATGACCTATCTCTGGACAGACTGCGAAAAAGGCTATTGAGTTCTATGAGGACAAAATTAAGAGTCTAGAGACGAATCTCACAGAGTTGGAAAAGATTGTACAGACGAAGAGCTCCCAGCAAAGACTCTTCGAGGAGGGTAAGTCGAATATAATGCCATATCATTCTCTAATTGTCCCGCACTCAGCCTGCGAATGCGTACCGTAAGCTAACTATTACCAGCTCTGAGACAAAAATTGCTTAGCGAAGGTGCTCAATCATCTGGTGCTGCCGCTGCGGGTGGTGGTTAAAACCTGTCAGACGCTTGCAGAGGCGTCCGATCATCCAGTGATCGGTCAGGGCAAAATAGTTAACAGAAATAATAGAGGAATGGTATTTGTTACAGTAAGTGTTGGCAATAGCAAATCATTAACCGCTTCGCATGTAAGCTCCTGCTTTGCCAGCTGGGAAATGTCGCACGCTCCCAAGGCTTTTGCAGAGATGTAAGACACGTTGAAACACACATATTCGACGAGACATTGATCTCGCACAATGAAGGGAAGATCACAACGAAGCAAAAGCAGAATGGCCCTGCACCTAGAATTTGAGCCATGATATATTCAGTCGCATCTATGAGTTAACAAACAGTCGCTCTCATAAAGATCAACTTGATATGTCTAGAATAGAGTGCCAAGGTCGGCATCCAACATCCCAGCAAGACCCTTCACCTCAAGTTTGGGCGAGGATCCATTTGAAGGTGGCTGGCTTTTGGTTGCAGCAGGAATCATCGAGGGCTCGGTGCTCACCTGTACTTTCCTGGTAGTATTCTCTGAGCTGGAACTGGGCCGTGCTGGGCCTAGAACTTCCGCCACTCGTTTCACTAAACCAATAAACTCCCAGAAGCCCTCGCCCTTGTCATCCGAATTGGATATCATTCTCGGGGGGAAGAAAGTGTGAAGCTCTGGGCTGTGCCGTGCGGAATGCCCAACTGACAGGTTGGCTTGCTCTCCCATCAAGTTATCCCAATTGGAATTAAATATAGATGCGCCCCAGGAAGTGGATGGGACATCGCAGATCTCACCCGTCACTAAAGCTGGTGCTGGTGCTAGTCCCTGAAAAGCGTCCGTCTTTAAGCGGCTGTATTCATCGTACCTCGCTATTTCTAATATGTACTTGGTGCCTTTCAGTCGGTACCGGATGGAGGCTTTTTCCACAAATCTGGATACAGGTGCTGAACTCGGAAAGATCACTTTTCTCTTGGGCTGTGCAGATATGTCACCTATGGTTGTAGTGCGTCGGAAGCCGATCGAGTGCGAAAACGATTTCAGTGCAGCATCGATGGAAGATGTCTCGTAGAACTCTAGGGATTTGATTTCAAGTTGCCAGTCGGCTCTAACAAGGACTCAGTTAGACCTAAACGACGAAAGACACGAATTTACCTACCTTTCGAAATCAATAACACCAATCTGTAGGGGTAGCCTCCTGTCCCTTGACTGGCCACTTTTGCGAGGCCTAAGCCATCGGCGTTGAGTTACTTCATATTCCTGTGCCCCGGGGCTTCTAGCAAATTCAGCTTCGAGACGAAGTAGAGCATTATTCGAACCCAGGAACTCGAAGTTCACGGAGTATGCAGGCTCAGCATTTTTCAGCGAACAGGATGTACTTTCGTAAGGCTCGAGAAGATCGGTAGACATGAAACATCTAGCCAGGAGCTCATCTTGACCGACCTGTAATCTATTTATAAAGTATTAAACACTAGACGAATAAATAGTAAGGAGTCCATACCCTGGAATCAAACGGCCTTTTGTTTGCTCATGCAATAGCATCTCTCTAAACTCCTCAAAACTATACCCGACTTTGTCATTCTTGGGCATGTGATACTCATCGAGCACAAATGAACCAAGGTTAACACGCATACGCAAGTGTCCACGGACAAAGGAGACACCTTGCAAGGATCTTGAAAGGGCGCTCAAGATGTGTGTGTTGTTCTTTGTCTGTATCAATGTACGTCGATTCTGCCACAGCTCTGACGAAAGGCTTTTCACCCTCTTTCCATGGAGAAAGGCTTTCGCAAAGAGAGTATTATTCTCCACGACAATCTTGTCTCTCAAGGTTTCTGGAGGCTCTAAAATGTAGGCTTTCGACCTAACGTGGCTATTGGCAACGGTCTCACTCCACTTGGTCCTGAGAAGCTGTGCGATCTGCCTCATCGTATCATGGCTGTGACCAAGAGCACATATATAGTCCGGGGCATTCTTTGGAAGGTAGACGTGACAGCCAAATTTCGCCCGAATGATATCAAGAGCCTCGAGTTGTTCTCCAAGAGATTCCTTGATTGGTGGACCATCGTTCGGCCACAAGAAAAAAAGCTTGGATGACGGATCTGTTAGAAAAGAAAATAAAAGTTGATACCTTGATATACTGACCTGCTCGGGAAAAGCTGAAGGCGATTTCGGTTCCTTCCTCAGAAGCAGCAGCATGTTCTCACGTCTTTCCTTTAAATCAACACCCATCTCTTTGTTTGCGGAATAGGCATTGATTTTAGCCCATTCCGTCCTTTTATGTGCGGGTGCAAGACTATTACATTTGGCAAGAAGCCTTTCAATCATTTCTATGGCCGAAGCCACGTCTTGTGGTTTACCCCATAGCTGAATGACCTGCAGTGAATGAGCACACTACTGTTCATTGACATCTGACTACGAAATGGCTTACCTTGTCAGTATAAGATGGAGGTTTCACATACGCGCCTGTTCTCCTGCTAATATCCTCGAAGATTTCATGACGACCTTGGGCGGCTGTAGGGGACTTTCCTGAAAGTGTCGATCTTGCTACTCCGAAGAACCTGTACACCGTATAATAGTGAGCATTTTTTAAAGAATGAAAGCGATCTGAAGGTGCTTACTCGTACTTGAAACTGCCAAAAGAGGCAGGCAATTTGAAAATCGCTTCAGTGTTACCCAAGGTAGTGTTAGCATATTGGAATCCGAAACTAGAGAGAGCCTACCAGAAGGTTCACTACCACCTCTCCAATTTGATTTAGCAGGTGAGTCGCGGAGAAGATTGCTGGATTGGCGTGAGGCTGCGGTGTTCGAGTATGCCCGTCTAGCCTGCACACGCCCCCTTGTTGCCCTTGTTGCCCTCGATGCACCTCTACCTCGCCCAATGCTGTTGGCTACAGGAGCTGCGGTAACTGCCGTATATGAAGCCTGTGGTTTCTTCTGTGTCTCTATCTCATTTCGGATACTATCTTTGGACAATGTTATGCGAGCCTGATCAGCCACTGTTCGCGTCGTTCCTCCACGGCTTTTCGGTGTGGGCCGACCGTAACCAGGTAGCAACCATTCTATATGGTGCATTGACTGGTCAATGAACAATTTCTTTCAGAAGAGCCTGGGGTAGTAAGGGACATGACTTGTCGTTTGCTTCTTACTGATAGAGGTGTGTCTTACCTTTAGCCCCCGCGGTTTCGTGACTGCAACGGTGTTAGCATACAAAGAATAGATGGGAGGAGGGAAACAGTTGTCTCAGGTGAGAGGTAAAGAGATGAACCAAAATAGAGAACTCACTCCATGTCTTTTATCAAGGAGAAGCTCGCAACAGAGTTGAAGCTCTCCGACAGAGATAGCTGCAAACGGCGAGCAGAGGCGGTGGCTAGGCTGATAAGAGTTGGGTGAGTAATATGTAGCAGAGAAGAGAGAAAGACACGATAGATAGGTTAAGCCAATAGATCTAAATCAGCAGGTTTTAAATGACGAGAATTCCTTTGTCCAGAGGATGATAGGGGAATGAAGGTGAAAGTGAAAGAACATACGCTGATGATGAATATGGAAAGTGCCTCGTCACGGGGCGAGATTCCTGTGACCTGCACCAAGAACCTCACCGGCATGTTTATGAACGAAAAACAATACTGTTGCCTCTGAAACAGTTGGTGGCGTTCAGACCAAACGACGGTGGCTCACTGCATTCAATGATGTTTCAACCATTAAAAGTCACTATTCTCAGAAATATATCGATTAGTACTTCTAAATAAATTCAAGGAAGGAATTGGTTATCGATCTAAAACGGTACTACGTTGGAGAGGAAACTTCTTTGTATGTTCTATGTATACTTAATCAAGGTTAAGATTATATAGATCGGAGGGAGGCTTAATTATTGGACGAAGACAGAGCAATGGGACGCTAAGCCCGAAATGGGTTAAAGTGGACTGCGCCCGGCGCGCTTTTGGACGTGTTGTGGATCCATTTTCAACCTTCCTTTGTTTGCTCTTCAATTACCGCAGACCATCCCTTCCGCCAGCAGCTATTTGTCCATTCCTTTAAAAGACAATGGCTATAGACACTGCAGACGAGAATGATACTCTGCAGACTCACAGGCGTAGTGCGCGCAAGCAGGCCCAGCAATGGATGACCAAAGGAGGTCTTGTTCGCGATGATTCTGATGACGAACTTGGTGAGGAGGATCTTCCGTGGGAATGGATATTTGCTGCCGATACTGCTGAGAACAAGGAGGATGCTGTGACGGACGCCCCAGAAGACACACCGAGGTCAAACCGAAGGCGCACCTCCCGGGCCAACGCAAAGAACCGTCGATCAATTATTGGAGCCCGGATGGGTTCGTTTGAATGCAAATTGGGTCAGGTCGTGCTGCTTAAATCCCCAGAGCCAGGCAAAGATTGGGTGGGAATCATCACCGAATTTATCGAGGAAGAGGATGAAGCGGATGGCGAGACAGTCAAGTCCGCCAACATCATGTGGTTTGCTTCGCCAGACGAATTCATGTCGACAAGGAACAAGAGACGAACCGACGCTTTGCCTAATGAGCAGTATCTGACCGCCGACTTCAATGTCAACCCAATCTCATCAATTAATGGTAAAGCGACGGTAATGTCCAAAGATGCTTTCTTCGCCAAATATCCGAATGGGGCTGCGCCGAAAGGAAAGGAACAATTGTCAGACTACAACAAATGCATTGTCTGTCGTAGAGGCGTGAATCAAGTTCAAGGGAGATACACCGAGGAATTTGTCTGGGAAAATGTCTACCGGGAGGATAAGATCTTCGATCTGATTGCTATGGTCAAGGACGGCCTGAAAAAGGCCAAGAAGCGAAAGCAGGGTGATGATGATGTGAGATCCAACCGACCTTACTCGAAGATTAAGATATCCTGACATGTGGAAACAGTATGTTGACACCAAGGACAAAGAAGATGACGACTTTGAGCCTGTGACACCAAGGAAGAGGCAGAAGTTAGCCACGAATGCCACACCACAGTCACGACGCCAAAAAGCTCTGACTACCCCAACACATAAGAGGTTTGTTACATATGTCCGACTAGATATAGGAAATACTGGTGCTAATGGCATATTGGACAGAATTGTTGTCAAGAAACCCCTCGAATTTACACCGTTGGGCACTCGTATACTTTCTCCATCCCATTTCGCTTCTCCATATCGCCAGGCACGGACTCTCCTACATGTCTCTACGGTCCCTACCTCATTGCCGTGCCGGAAAGCAGAATTTGACACCGTGTACAACCATCTCAGCGCTGCCATCATGGAAGGAACCGGAACATGTATCTATATCTCGGGTACACCTGGAACTGGCAAGACGGCAACAGTCCGTGAGGTGGTCGCACAGTTGAACGCAGCCGTGCTTGCAGAAGAGATGGACGACTTCATTTTTGTTGAGATTAATGGCATGAAAGTCACCGATCCACATCAGTCCTACTCATTGCTTTGGGAAGCCTTGAAGGGCGACAGGGTATCTCCTTCCCATGCGCTTGATCTTCTCGAGAGGGAATTTTCACATCCATCACCACGACGTGTCTCATGCGTTGTTCTCATGGATGAACTTGACCAACTGGTAACCAAAAACCAGTCTGTGATGTACAATTTCTTTAACTGGCCTGCCCTTCGCCACTCCCGCCTCATTGTGCTTGCCGTCGCAAACACTATGGATCTGCCCGAGCGAACACTAAGCAACAAGATTTCCAGCCGTCTGGGTCTTACTCGCATCACATTCCCCGGCTACAAACACACCGACCTCATGGAGATCATAAGCACTCGCCTGGCCAACATCCCAGGAAACATAGTCGATGCAGACGCCGTCCAATTTGCAAGCCGAAAGGTGGCTGCTGTTAGCGGTGACGCTCGACGCGCATTAGACATCTGCCGCCGAGCAGTAGAGATTGCCGAACAGGCCAGTGAGGCAGCTAAACTGGAGCCTATTCTAGAAGATGACAACGCAGATGAAACCGAGTCTATGCCACCAACGCCCAGCAAGACCCCTGCGAGAAAGGAGAGATCAACCAACAAGCAGTCCGCCCCTCCAAAACCTCAACCGCCACACAAACAAGGACGTGTCACTATCGCTACTATTAAACAAGCCATCCAAGAAGCAACCTCAACCCCGCTGCAGCAATCCCTACGCTGTCTCCCGCTCTCCGCGAAGCTTTTCCTTGCCGCTCTCTTGGCTCGTGTGAAGAGAACTGGGATCACCGAATCAACCTTTGGCGACGTACTTGACGAAGCGAGACGAATTGCAGACGCTGCAGTCGCAGTTGCTGGCGCGGCTGGTGCAGGTATTAAAGAGTATCTACTCAGTGGTGAAAGCGGTGCTCGCGTGCGTGCTCTAGGATTTGCGGCTATGGAACTCATGAACTCTGGAGTTCTTGCCCTGGAGCACGGGCCAGCGACGAAAGGACCTCTGGGAAGTGCTGCCATCCCTAGTAGAGGGGACAGAAGTGGTAAAGTTAGGCTGAGGGTGGCAGCCGAAGACGTAAGGGCTGCGTTCCGGGACGATATAGAAGCTAAGGGGTTAGGGCTGGGCACGGATCAGTAGCCTTTTGTATGAGCAAGACAGTCTTTCGGACCAACAGCTCCTGCACCTCATGAATGGTAATGTACAGATGTACGACTTCCGTGTCCGATTTTCTCGTTGTCTAGGCCATGTATTCTACAAAGTCATTTATTAATCGAATAATGATACCCACTTGTACGTCAAGCAAATTATCGACTACAAGTCCTCAAAGATAAACAAGTTTAACAGCGTAAATCAAGCAAGTTCCAAAATGTTTCAAGCTTAATATGATACAACAAGAGAGAAATCCTTTTATAAACCCTACCAAATCCCAGTACTAGTCACAGATAACAAACAGTACATCTCGAACGCTAAACTCCATAAGTGCGTGAAGTGAACATGCCCGATTCTTATATCAGATCCAGATCAATGAAGGGTATAACATGACAGACGGCCAACAGCAATACCAACCTAATATCTCTGTCTGCCAAGAGTTGGAGCCCAAGTCACAGGGTGCGACTCAGGTGTAGCCTCATCATCCGGCTTCCAGACCTTGATGGTCTTATCTGCCTCACCAGTAATCAGACGCAGGCCTGTCCGGTCGAAAGTGGAGGCCATGATGCCTGCCTCGGCATCGAGCGAACCAGGTTGCGCCATGGTATCGATCGACTGGAAACGGTATCCGGTCTTCCAGTCCCAGAAAGACATGGAACCGTTGTCGCCACCGGAGAAGAGAACGTTGTCTTCGTTCACGGCGAGAGAGTTAATGACAGCATTATGACCCTCGAAGTTTTGCATGAAGTCACCCTCGGGACACTTCCATTGCTTGATGCTTCCTGTGCTGGCACTAGCAAATGTGAATTCCCGAGGGTGGATAGCAAGGTTTCGGACACCCTTTTTGTGGTGAGTTAGGACACCCATTGACTTTCCAGCTGCAAGATCCCACAGACGAACGGTGGCATCCAGGGAACCAGTAATGATTTGTGGATCAGCTTCCTGACACTTGACATCGGCAACAGTTCCTTTATGGCCGGACAAAACGTGGATGTTACTCCTCGTTCGCATATCCCAGACTCGGGCAACACCGTCTCGACCACCAGTGACCAGCAGGTCGAGGCGAGGGTGTAGAGCTAGCGTATATACGCCACTTAGATGGCCATGGTAGTGACGAATGACCTTATTAGTCTCCAGATCCCAACATTTCACCATCTTGTCCTCTCCACACGAGAAAAGGTAAGGATGCCGGGGTGACACAGCCAGTCCGCGGACAGTGGAGATGTGGCCTGTAAGGGTCAGGCGCAGAGCACCAGTCGCCAGATTCCAAATTTTAATCGTCCGGTCACCAGCACCACTGGCAAACCACTCGTTGTTCGGCTCCACCGCCAGACTTCGCACCCATCCCAAATGTCCAGAAATTACTCTCATCAGTTTCCATGGAGCGTGCCAGTCGGGCCTCTGTTGTCGCGTCGCGGAGGGTCGCTGGATCAGGCTCTTGGGTTGATCCTCATTACCAAGGCCACCAGCAGCCGGGCCTTGAGCTTTCTTCACCAGGGCCATTGAGGCGCCGCTACCATCTACGGGCGCCTTCGCCTGGGCTTGGGTTTTGGGACGCTTCGTACGCCCGGCCGCTGCTTTGGCTTGCTTCTCTGCTAGAACTGGTGGGAGTTCCTTCACATGTTCATATTCCGCTTTCCGTCTGTAAGAAACGCCAATCGATCCATCTCCAGTCGAGGGTGTGACCATAAGATAATCCGCGCCGAATAGTTCAGCAGTCCTCTTCGCGGATCTGCGCACGGCCTCTTCGGGCGTAGTCGACGAGATAACGTCCATATTCGTGGAAACTCTGAGGTCGTATATTGGGACTGTAAAGCGAGATGGTAGGCGAAAGGAACGTGTCGTTCACGTCTGGAACCCCGGGCAAAGGGGTTCTGACGGTCAGTTGGCGGTAACAGCAATTTACTGCCTCATTCAAGATTTATTATTGAGCGATTGGACAATAAGCGTGAACTGGTGGCGAGAATCGTTGGAGGAGAGAAAGAGAGACTGGCGATGACGAGTCTAGAGGGTTGGTTGCGGTTCCTTTTTGACTTTTGGCGGAGAGCTACATAATATCTGCCTGAGGCTGTAAGGCACACAACAGGTGTCGACGGCAAAGCCCCTCCGCCAATAGCTCCGATCTTATCGTGTGCAGCTATCCGACAGTTCTCCGACTGACCCGCATCTATAAATTCTATAGCACATCATGGACCCTCAACACGACGCCAAATTTCCTCTACATGAGGCCGCTCGAGAGGGTAGAAGTAAGCGCAATATTATAGTCTATTAAATCATGACACTTACCAATGCCTGACAGCTCAGGTGGTCGAGTCACTTCTAAACGTAAGTGCTGGCCCGCATCATCTGGAGCTGTCTATCTTCCTTTTATGGCCAGAGCTATCGCAGTTTCCGGAGTATATCATGGATGCTTACTTTCAGGACTAACAGGCAAATCCGAAGCTTGCCAATGTCAAAGATGATGACGAACGCCTTCCCATTCACTGGGCTGTAGCATACAATCGGCTTCCTATCGTGGAGCTATTGGTGGCCACCAAGCACTTCGATCCAGATGTTGAGGTAGTCTCCTGTTCTTACTTCCTACGATTACTAGAAACACAGAGGTAACCTGGGTTATTTGCGATCAACCACTTATTTGATATCACAGGACGGCTCAGGCTGGACCCCATTGATGATCGCAGCCAGTCTAAAGAACGCCGAAGGAGATCCGACCATCGACCTACTCTTGAAAAAGGGCGCAGACGTAAATGTCAAGAGTAACTCCGGACAGGTCCGTCTAATCTCAATCAATCAAAGCTTTGTCACTAACTGTAACTCCAACTCCAGAATGCGCTCCACTTCGCAACCTCCAAAGCCAGCCTTTCCACCGTTCGTACCTTAATAGCAAACAAATGCAGCGCCAGAGTTAAAGATAGGCGCGGGCAACTAGCACTCCATCGCGCCGCAGCTATCGGGTCCTCACCAATCATTAAGGTTCTTCTCCAAGATGGGAAAAGTCCCGTCAATGCCACGGACGTGGACGGTCTGACTGCTCTGCACCATGCTATCTCTGAGGGCCACGGTGAAGCTGCGATCACTCTGCTTAAGGCTGGTGCTGAAACCGATAAGAAGGACGCCAATGGTATTTTAGCTATTGACATGGCGCCGGATGCAAGTGTAAGTAATCCATTCTCTTTCCGTATAACGGCCTTTAGGCGCATTTCTCTGGTTATTGCGAGGCTAACTGTGTCAAGGTTCGAGAATATATTCGGCAAACTGCAGAAATGGAGGGTATAGAAATTTGAGAGACGTGGCACATGGTAATGGATACTCGGAGCTTTCCAAAGCTCATCATAATGGTCTAATAGTAGCAATTAGGAGAGATATTATATTCTTTTCTGAAAAGTCCTGTTTCGCATAACATCGTCTGAGGTATTGAACGTCCAGGTAAATACTATGTACAGAAGTAAAAAGGATTATCTTTCAAGAGACGTCTATAGGCTTTCATTTCATGGTACTATCCACCAGCTCTCGGTAGATTTTCTTGACTTCGGCAATATCAGCCTGGAGCTCTTCCACTTGCTCACTCTTTTCACCCAGCAGCTCAAGAGTAGTCTCGTAACGCTCCTCTAGCTCTGCATGCCGCTTCTCTAGTTCTTGAATGCGGGCGTCGGCTGTCTTTTTCTCCTCAGATTCCCGCATCAGATCCACAACTTGTTGCCGGGCTTCATCGCGTTGGCTTACAATACGGGCAAGCTCATCTTTCGTGGCAGCACGTTCGCTTTCCAATCGGCGAACCGTCGCACTCATGCGCTCAACCAACTGGACCGACGGACCAGCGCCAACAGTGGACTCCGAGATAATGTCATTGATTCCCCGGGAGTTTTGGGTCAGCGCTCCACCAAAAGCGGATGGCGTGCCCGGACGGGCAGAGAACTCGTCTGGTTCGAAAGTAATTGAGGGGGTGTCCGTAAATTGCGAGAAGGAGGCGCTATTTGCTGGAGGTGAAAGGAGACCAGATGTAGATGCTGGGAATGAGTTCTGTCGTGTTGGTGTGCCTACTTCTGGCGACGTCATGGGCAGAGTCGAGGACCGGCGACTTGATCGCAAGTCAGTGAGAGAACCTACAGGCTCTAGGGCACTTGGCCTGCGACTGTACGCCACTGGTGATTCGGTACGTTGCTGCTGGGTGAAGATGGCAGGAGGTACAACCTGCTCGCGCCATTTCATTCGTTCTTCCTCCAGTTTCTGCGCCCACGTTGCATCGCACACTTTCTTCTGTTCGTCGAAGTCTTTCTGTGCCGAGACTAAATCGTCCGCAGCTTTTTGAAGTTTCTGCTCCAGTTTTTGCAGCTCCTGCATGCGTTCCTCGAGTTTGCTTTCAAGATCATGCTCGACCTCTTTTGCGTCCTCGAGGTCCTCCTCAGCCCTTTTAGCTTTGAGATTCTGCACACCTAGATTAGTCTCTATCTCTATTTGGTCAAGAAAAAAAATATGAGTTGGGACAAATCAATCATACCAATTCCCGAACTCTCCGCCGCAAGTCTCCCTCTCGGCGTGTGGCTTCGTCTCGTTCTTTCTCTACGTTGGCTAAGCGCGCAAGTAATGAACCTTCCAACGCCTGCCAATTTTCACTAGCAACAGCGTACTGCGTCTGCAATGTCTCGATCTGGCGTAGAAGTTTTGCTTGGGCATCGCCAGCTACCCCGGATGAAGCTTCTTCCGCTCTAGAGCGAAGGGACTCCATCTTGCTCTCCAACACAGATTGCTCGTTCTTTAATTCGACCTCCAGTACTCGTGCCCGTTCCTTCTCTTGCTCGATGGTACTCTTAAGATCGCGTATCTCTGTCTTCAAGCTTTCCTCACTTTCATCACGCTCTGCCTTGATGCTTGCCAGCTCTTCTTCCAAGTTGGCCGCATGGCGCTTTTCCTGCTCCAGCGCATCAGACTGAGCTTTAGCCTCAGCTGTCTCGGCTCGCGCAACTGCTCTGGCAAGTTGTCCATTTATTTCCTGAACTGTTTGGCTCAATGCATCTCGCTCCGCTGTGACTGCTTCAAGATCCCGCGAGTTTTTTGACTGAGACGTCAGTGATTCATTGGCTCGTTTTTCGGCAGCTTCAGCCCGCTTAGCCCTGGCCTCAGCGTTGGCCAGATCTCTTTCCAGTTTTTCTGTTTTCCGATGATTTTCAGTTTGAACCTTCGAATTCTCCGCCAATTGCTGCCGAAGTTTCTTAATCACTGTACGGTGGTCCATCTCAGATTTCGAAAGTTTCTGTCCTTCTTCGAATAATAGTGCGATCTTCTCGTCCTTCTCCCGGAGTTGTCTCTCCATACTTCCAGGTGCTTCCGCCGCCGCCGCTTTCTTGGCGGACTCAGCAGCTTCCTTGGTCAAGTACTTCAACTTCGATTGCAATGCGTCAATTCGCTCAATATGTTCGTACATTTCCGCTTGCCAGCGTGACTCGGCTGCCTTGTGTTCTGCCTGTAACTGTGCGATAGACTTGTCCACATCGTTGGAGACAGGCCCGATGATATCACTCGGACCATTCGCAGTGTCCTGGGCAAGGTCCTCAGATGAGCGTGGTTTGTCAGCTTCGGTTTCCTGTAGCTTAGATTCAACGCCATTTTCTTGTACGACTTCGGTGCTCTTCTCTGAGTTAGCCTCTTGCGATTCGGAATCCTCAGTCGATACGCGCGAGGTGACAATATCTTGCGAGTTTCGTGGTGAGCTGCTGTCATGACTTGTCCTGGAGGCTGCTATTGACGAAGATTCATCGGCAGGAGTGACGCTTTGGGCACTTTCTTCGAGATTGAGGCTGCTACGTCCAAGGGTCGATTCAATATCCATGCTCGACCGCGCGCCATTACTCGGGGCCGGACTGGTGACGGGAGAGGGGACTCGACTCGAGGATTGGGAAGCGGGATTGGCATTGGTATTGGATTTGACAACAGCGCGAGCCAGACGCTCCTGAAGGCGATCATTTTTCCGCGCATTTGAGGAACTTCGCGAATGATCTAGACCCGTTAGTATGCGATGGAATATAATGAGCTAACTCAATTTGGGAAAGCCATACTACCAGTCTGATTCTTCGTCGCCGTACTTGGTTTTGGCTGTATCTGCTGTCGCTGTTCCTCATCGGCCAAGATCATATCCAGTTTCGATTCAACGCCGGCGACAGCTTGCTGCAGGAAGGATCCAACCTTCCATTTTGGTTGCGCCATTATGGTAATGCGATCGGAGATGTCTCAATCAAAGGCATGAACGAGCTAGTTCTAGCAGCACGTCCGACTGGCTCTCTGGCATGAAAGGCGGCGGTCTTTGACAATGCCTGCCGTCACACACGCACTGTATCGTAAGTGGCACTAGGCAGATCGATGATTCCTGACTTTCCTGCGGGGAAAATGAGCGTGTGGGGGGTGTGGTTGGAGTTATACGTATAGGGAACGAGGGGTTGGAAACGAAACGAGAGACTAGAGACTAGAGACTAGAAGATATAAAGAGACATGAAACAGACAAGGACAAGTGCAACCACGTAGCAGGAATACGAACGCTGGGTGTCTGGCTTGCGTGGACGAGAAGGTTGGAGAGATTACTACTGATTGAATGGGGCTTAGTATGGGTCTTGGCGGTATGATGGGGAACAACGTGAACACCGGAGCTTTCCTTCATTCGTAACAATCCATCATCATAGATTCCAGCACTCTCTCTTCATCCTCAATCAACCCCCTCCCACCCATCTCGGTTTTCTTCGCCTCTCGCTGTTCCGGGTAGGCTCCATTTTTACCCTGCAATACCGGAACTATGTCGACCATGTCTTTGGAGCCTCCCATGTACCTCAGCTCTATCCAGAACAACATCCGAGCTCGGCCCATCCCGTGGGAGGGAGCGGTTCGAGCTGGTAACATCACCGATGATCACTTGAAAAAGATCAAGGCAGTGGACAAGGTTCGCAAAGACCAGCGACGCCAGACTGTAGAGGGCGATATCTCTGGCTATGTAAGCCTGCTCTCTGGA